TATGCTCCCATTTAAATCATCAGTCTATGGCTGCTATCGCGGGGTGCTTGTTGGTTTTGAATCTGATCCTAAATTCTTGAGATCCTTGGGAGTCCCCGTGGTGTAGTGGTAAGACACTCGCCTGGCGTTCCGCGAGCGCTATGTCATGGGTTCGTATCCTGGCCGGGGAGGATTTACTGGGCGCAATTCCTTAACTGTAGCCTCTGTTTAACGCAACAGTAAAATGTGTACTTGGATGAAAAAACGATTCTTCGCGGCGGGGATCGTATTCCAGGGACCATAGGATTAAGGACTTGCCCGAAACGCTACGCGTACTAGTGGCTGTACAACAATGTAACAACTCTTGTATATATCTCAAAAAAAAAAAAAATCATAATTGAGTTTCTTAACATGCCCGAAACGCATTGCGTAATAGTGGCTTTAGGCATTGTATGTACTAGCTCTATTGTATGTACTAGCTCTATCTATATATCAATCCATTAATGTAACATCACTTGTATGTATGTACCTTACCTGAATAAACATATTTATTATTTATTTATTTAAAAATGCTCTCGGTGTTTCGGGCGAAATGTTTCTATTCTTTTTTTTTTTTTTTGAGATATATACAAGAGTTGTTACATTCTTGTAGAGCCACTAGTACGCGTAGCGTTTCGGGCAAGTCCTTAATCCTATGGTCCCTGGAATACGATCCCCTGCCGCGAAGAATCCTTGTTACAACCAAGTACACATTTTACTGTTGCGTTAAACAGAGGCTACAGTTAAGGAATTGCGCCCAGTAAATCCTCCCCGGCCAGGATACGAACCCATGACATAGCACTCGCGGAACACCAGGCGAGTGTCTTACCACTACACCACGGAGACTGAGACTTTTCAGGGTTGTCAACTCCACACTTGTTCTACAGCGTTAAATTTGGTATCTTTGAGATTGCAATAAAATTCCCTACACGGACATATGCATATAAATGAAGAATGATGATTGCGGTTTACCCGCAAGAGTGTGGGAAGTGGTCAAAGTGTTATCTGTTACCGCACATCGGCGATCTACAATAGTTTTACCATGAAGATACAAGACAATGCCGTTCTCTAAAATAGGCTATGTGGCTACTAAAGAAAACGTAAATATTATGGCAAACATGTTTGTAGCGAGTAGATTATCCCAATAATATACTCTATGCTGCTCCGATGATCTCCACGATGCTGCTCCGGCCTCACTCAGCTCTCTGCTCTGCTCCAGGCTTCGTCTCAACGTCTGCAACACTGCTAAATCCAGAGACACATCCGCCGACTACGCAGTTCACTTTTCGACCACAGTTACCAGCAGCACCGCCACCTACGACACCGGACGATCCTGTACGACCTCCCACCCTACAACCCCAGTTACCAGCCGCACCACAACCTGATCCTACGACGACGGACGATCCTGTGCGACCTCCCACCCTACGACCCCAGTTAGATGACATCAGCGAAGAGGAGGAAGTTAACTTTGATGGTTATGTAACGCGAGCAGGGCGTACAATTCACCGACCAGCTAAGTTCCTTGATCAAGTATTTTTCCTTTCATCCCCTGGGAGGGGGAGTTCTGTAGCGAGTAGATTATCCCAATAATATACTCGCTCCAAATATAGTGTTACTGTTCCTGTCAACCTTTGGAGATGAATGAGGTGAGGCGTTGCCCGGGCAACACGGTGAGATGCCCGAGCAATATAAGCAGCGGTGTAGCGAACATTAACTAGTCTACTTTCAAGTGTGGTCTAGAGCAGACACTTGCGAGATACTGTACCAACGCTCAGTGCGCTCAACTCACACCAACGTATCACCTGTGTACTTCTGTATATTCGACCAAATATATATATAGTATCTTAGTGTCTGTGTTTATTTGTCACCATACTTTACGTAACAATAGAACCGTTACATGTTCATACTATCCCCAAGTCGATCGGATAAGAATTGAATTTTATAGAAATATTTGTTCGTAGGACATAAAATAATGTCCACTTCGGCACCTTCAAGTGACCCCCGGTGGACCCGCTCTTGTGGCCACGGCTCAGGAAAGTGATAATTATTAAGAATATAAAATATGCCAGTCCCCGTGGGGTAATGGTAAGATTTTCGCTTGGCGTTTCGCGAGTGATTTGGCCTGGGTTCGTATCCCGGCCGGGGAGGATTAACCAGTACCACTCTTTAACCCCAACCGTCCACAAGTGGTTGGGCACCATTTCTTTTCCCCCGTCCCATCCCAAATCCTTATCCTGACCCCTTCCCAGTGCTATATAGTCGAATTGGTCTGGCGCTTTCTCCTGATAACTCCCTTCTTAACTGTTGTAGCCTTTGTAGCCTCTGATCACTCAGCAATGAATGGGTACCCATTGTTAAACGATTTGGCGGGTCATATTCCGGGGAAAATTAGGATTAAAGAAAAACCTGCCATGTACATTCGTGTGTATACGAGACAAAGTCCATTTAATGGCAGAATTTACCATTTTATGTAACAGCTGCCCACTGGATGGGGGGCGGTGTGCAGGACAAACATATCAATTGTGACACTAGCTCTCCACATATGTCAGTTGCTTAATTTAGAACCTGTACTTGAGGTCGATCTCGAACCCATTATTGATGTGACGACTTATACTGAATTTTGTAACTAGCTCATCATGATCATCATCTTAGCTAAATGAATTGTGGGGTTCAGTCCCTGAGCCCATTATGTGCCTCTGTAACCCTATTCACTATACCGCCCACAAGATGGGTATGGGGTGCATAATAAATGAACTAAACTAACTTATGTAACAACTTTTATATCTCATACTTTTAATTATAATAGTAATCGAAACAAAAATAATTGTTTGGATACACAAGAGATGAAACAGAAAGCCATGAGCTAGATCAATGAGCTGACTGCTCCAGATAACGTCTATAAGGGGAGCGGAAATTAACTTCCATCAAATACCCTCCTGTGATTGGCTGTTACGGGGAATGCCAACACTCTTTTTATGAATAAAATATTAACTAAGAAATACGTAATTTTGCACATCAACCTTGTTGTTGTGCAAAAGAAAAACAATTTCTGTTTTGTACCTGGCAGAAATTTCCATCTTAATTGAATCATTTAGTTCAATATGAGGGCGAAGCATTGTATTATCGATGTTATTTGTGTGTGAGGCAACTCCCACTGATGACGTCACAAGTTAGGTAGCCAAGTCAATCTTATAAAACACCTATTATATTCCGCAATAATTAATTATCACTTCATTAACACTTTTTAAATAAATAATACTTCACTTTTGGGGTAGATTGAAGCTTATACAGAATGTCATAAGCATGGCTGGTGTGCTGACTAAAGATGATTTATTAAATGGATGGCACCTTTAGCTAATCCCTTCCTGTGATTGGCTGTTGGTGAATGTCAACAAAGAGTTTCTACCAATCATCATTTTTTTTATTATGCACCCCATACCATCTGTGGGCGGAGCTTGGAACCTCCTACCCGAGCCCAACAACCCGCCTTATGGGTTGCTGTTTGGCTATTTATAGTGCGTTGGAAAAAAACTAGATGGCGTTAGTTGTATTTTGTGGGTTAATTTGTTATAAGTGTAATTTGATGTCAACAGATGGCGTAAGCTGTATCTTATAGCCACTGTTGACTAGCCAGTTGATAGTGTTCTCTTCTGCCGACAGATGGCATTAGCTGTATCATTATTACTTCCGAATTCCCTTTAAACACTGATCTACAAATCCCTTGACTTATGATAACAAATTAGATGGCAAATTCCTTGGCGTTCTCATCGACCACAAGCTGAATTTCCAGGGTCACATTCTAAATATATCAAAAAAAGTTTCAAAAACTGTTGGCATTCTTTCTAAGATCAGATATTATGTACCCCGCCCTGCCCTGGTTACTCTCTATTACTCCCTCATCTATCCATACCTCAACTATGGTATTTGTGCTTGGGGTTCTACTACCCAAAATCACTTACGTCCTCTAATTACCCAACACAAAGCCGCTATTAGAACAATATCCAACTCTGGCCCCAGACATCACTCGGTACCCCTACTCAAATCTCTTAATATGTTAGATATTAAGTCACTGCACATTCTCTCATGTGTATTATACATATATAAAACGCTAAACTATAATGCCAATCCTGATCTTAAAAGCTTCATAGAAGGTTGTAACAGAACCCATGAGCACCACACCAGAAATAAATACAGTTTTGATATTCCTAGAGTACGTCTTAATCAAACTAGAAATGCTCTGCAAATCAAGGGGCCCAGAATGTGGAATGACCTTCCCAACCATGTTAAAGACTGTACCTCTCTCAACCAGTTTAAGATAAAAACTAAACACTACCTAATAAATTCCCTGTAATCTACCTCACTCCTCTATTGTCAACCCATGTCTGTTATTTTCTTTTTTTAATCAACACTGTTTGTCAACCTATTGTATTTGTGCTGCTTTTTCAGTCATGTTCCCCTTTTTTTTTTTTTTATCTTTATTTGTATTTGTTTTCAACACTATTTATTCTTTATGCTCAATTAGTATTAAGTTCTAGATATTAATGTTTTTCTTGCCCGAAACGCATTGCGTATTAGTGGCTTTAGGCATTGTATGTACTAGCTCTATCTATATATCAATCCATTAATGTAACATCACTTGTATGTATATACCTTACCTGAATAAACATCTGAATCTGAATCTATATATATATATAATATGTATGTGTGTGTATGTGCATGTGCAGAAATAATAATAAAGCAATTACCATCGTGTAGTGTCCTCTATATATCAAAATATATTTGAAACCCATATCATTCACTCAAAAAAAAAAAATGGGCTACTTTTGTTACAAAATCGCTACTTTTAGCCCCTCAACTCGCTACTTTCCGCGAGTTGGATGTGGCAACCAGGAGGCTGTTTATAACAATAACAACAGTTGATTGGCAAGTTTTCATGCTTGTAAACTGTTTAATAAATGTAAACAAGGCCGTCAAAGATTGAGAAAAGATGTACACGTTCGTCAGTGCTTGCGTAACTGCTTCGTGAATCTGGCTCCTGTAGGGTGCTAGGTGCTGGCCTCAGTTGCTACCCAGCCACGGTCGGGTGTACACGCACGCTGCTCCACGCTGGTAGGTGGTCATTACACACACTTCCTATGGTTAGTATAGCCTTCTCTTCCCATAAACTGCTTGTTTGGTGCCATAGTTTAGGTTGAATAGTCGTATTAAAGACCTTGTGGTTAAGTTGGTGGGGACTGGCTGGATGGGTGATCATGGGGATAGGTGGGATAGTCATATTATCCAGTATGATAGTGGACTAGGTGGACTATAGGGGCTAGAGAGAGAGGTCTATCCCACCCCCGCCGACCTTCGGACGGGCTGGTCAAGGCTACGTTAGTGCGGCGTCATTACTCTCTCACTTTCCCCTATCTTACTTAACACATCTAAGTAACCTTTACACCAATTGATCACTAAGATAAAGTAACCTTTGTTATATACAGCTTTGTATAAGCCATTGTTATAGAGAATTCTATAACCCCGGGTCTGTATTGCTTCCCAAATGACTATTGTATTTACAATGTATTGTATAATTTATTCTGAAGAGTTGCATAAAAAAAGGCATTTTTATCTACAGCTTTATTATAATTGGTTGAATAATGCATGCGAGCCTTGCTTAGGGTACGTGGATATGTTGAGTATAGGCCTGTGTGCGAGGCATTGTACTTCCGGGGGTTGGGCTCCGGCTCTTTGGTCCCGCCTGGATGGTTTAGGTGCGGTCCGTCTAATTACCGCAAGCTACACTAAGCCTCCTGGCAGTATGTTAGTAATGAATAAATATGATATATTTACTCGTTATAATGTTGGTGCTGAATGTATAACACCAAAAAATGTAATTTTAATCTGAAAAAGTATCTTTTTATAAAGAAATTAGACGAAAATAGAGCTGGTGACGCCAAATAAAGTCGGCAATCCAAGCTTCGGTTAGGTTAGGTTAGGTTAGGTCAGGTTAGGTCAGGTCAGGTCAGGTCAGGTCAGGTCAACCTAACATATCATATTTATTTATTACTAACGTATTGTCAGGAAGCTTTGTGAAGCTTGTGGTAGCTTGTAGTAATTAGACGGACCCGTTTAGGTGTCCGGGGGTAAAACGACAATTGCTGTTCATAATTGTACAGTGCGGGCTAGGGCCCAAGTTATTGTCTTTAATCTTGTATACAAGTACTATGGCCCCCAATGAGCTGTGTCAAGGTATCGGTGCTTCTAAATCCCGTACCTCACAATAAAATCAAATCAAATGTTTATTCAGGTAAAGTACATACATACAAGGTGAGATACAAAACATTGATGGATTTATAGATAGAGCTAGTACAGACAATGCCTAAAGCCACTATTACGCAAAGCGTTTCGGGCAAATAATTAGGTTAGGGATCAGTGGTGCCATACTATACTGAGAAAGGCACCATGCTGTGCCTTTCCCAGTATGGTTTGCCTGCATAACCAAAGTGCAACATTATTGCTGCCAAGCGCCTGACCTTTCAACTTCTTTCAGAGCTTATGTACTGGAGAAACAAGTTTCGAGTTCACAAAGGCATCTGGTTCAGTAGTTTAGGGTAAATCCACAGGTCTCCTGAAAAGTTAACAACTTAATTGCTCACTAAAAATGGTTATAATAGGTTTATTGAAATATATTATGGCATGATTCAGAAGAGGTATTCAATTAAATGACACTGGAATGGATGCTGTACAGTACTTGCCATGCCCACAGAGATATTGACCAAGAAAGGTGCCATCAGAAAGTTTCTTTCCAGACACACTATTGGCGGTTTCCAGATGGCAAGATGTATCGCTTATTTGTACAAAAAATTTGCCAGCATAACCTTGTCCCAGAAGGGCTGATTGTAACTTTGCAGGTCATATCACAACCATATTTCACATACAGCACAGCAGTTGGGTTCTTTGATGCAGTGGTCGGTGGAGTAGTCACAGCCGAAAGGTCCTGGATTCAATTCCTGCCAAAGAACAAGCGTTTGGGCAATATTTCCTTTCACCTGATACTCCAGTTCGCCTTGTGGTACATACCCAGGAGTTAGGCCGTTGTTGTGGCTTGCATTCTTAGAAAGTTCAATAGTAGGCCAAAGGGGATCATGAGGAGCATAACAGGCTTCCTGTCCTTGATTATGGGGGATCATATGTTTAATCGAACTCTCCGAACATGGGAGCCGGCCGAGCAGACAGCACACTGGACTTGTGATCCTATGGTCCCGGGTTCGATCCTTGGCGTTGGCGAGAAACAATGGGCAGAGTTTCTTTCACCGTATGCCCCTGTTACCTAGCAGTAAAATAGGTACCTGGGTGTTAGTCAGCTGTCACGGGCTGCTTCCTGGGGGGTGGAGGCCTGGTCGAGGACCGGGCCGCGGGGACACTAAAGCCCCGAAATCATCTCAAGATAACCTCCTGTGGTGGCCCTTCACAGCAAAATATAATAAGATATTGCCCTTGCCCAGTCTTTCTGCATGTCTTCGTTTTCTGATTTTTGCCCAGTTTTGAGATTGTAGTGTACTTTGCTCTCCTAAGCAGTGTGCTTCACTTGAATGACTTCCATAATACTTGTTTTACTATAGGAATTTAAGGCAGGTATTTGTAAGCTCTGATATTATAATTTTTTCAGGTCTTGTGGACTGTCAAATTATGTTTCATGGGGTATTAGGTGATCCTTCCAAAACAGAGGATGAACGAAACGAAAACATAAGAAAAGGTACCAAGGTTGTACACGATGACAAGAATCCATGCATTAAGGTACATCGTATTTCATGCTCTTCATTGTCAGTTAGAAAACAACATATATATTAGTCCATTCTCCTGTTTAGGTTATATTTATAGTAACGATGAGGAGCATCATACATATACAGTATACATACCTAAAAGGTAATTAGTCCTGGGGACCATTCAGGCTTGTTCGCATATACAGTATACATACCTAAAAGGTAATTGGTCCTGGGGACCATTCAGGCTTGTTCCAATATACAATATACAGTATACATACCTAAAAGGTACAGTAATAAGATAGTAGAAATCGGTACAATTGAATTTGGACAAACCGGAAAGGTTTTGTATTGCAAAGGTAACCTAACCTAACCTTCCTCGGCCTAATACAGGATCTGAGGCCTAATGTAGTACATGTGTGTTATACTAGGCCTTGGAATATTTAAGTTTGTTTTTGGACTATAAAGTGAATAGTACAGTACTAAATTCACTATCTAATTTCCTTTTGTATTCGTATATGTACAATGGTCCACAATTACAAAGAGTACTCAATAAACAGGAGGATGGGTTTTATATATATACAGTACAAAGATCCTTTTAATTCTGTTTTTTTTAATACATGGGTAATCATTGTTATTGATCTCCCTTTCAATGCACAGTACAGTATCTTTTTCAGTCATTTCTATTTTTACTTCGTGTGGTCGTCTGTAACAGTTACATTAACATTTTTTGGTCTTATAAATTGGCCTTTTCTCGGCCTGAGGGATTTGTTTTGTTAAAACTTTGTGCTGCACAAAATATCACTGTATGAAGCTAATATTACTTGCAAGAAATAAGAGTGCATTTCTGTGACCTTGCAGCCACCTTTTTCTCCCTCTTGCATCTTGATTAAATATAGTAATTGTCTGAACATTATTTCCAAGTAATCTTGCCCATTCCTAACCATAAATGTCCTGTATTTGTAGATAACATTAAGCAATGCCTTTAGTATCTTAGGGTGAAGCAAATACTGTATTGCAGAAAGTTTGAGAATGGAGCATGATGCAAGAACGTGCAGTCATCCATAAAGTGTTTAAAACGCAGGTATCCACCCTCTCATGCCATGAGATAGACACTCGTGTTGGGCAATGTTTTGTGGTGAAGCACAGGGTTGCAACAATGAGAACTATGCAATATCTATTTGATGGAAATTTTGTTTAAGATGTTTGGAAGTGACTTGCTGTCCATCACATTTTATTGCAACTTAGGTACAGTATAGTGTTTGATGAGTTCATGCATATAGCATGTTTGGCAAAATGATTCCATCCTGGGGGTGTCACTCGAGGTTTGGTTTTTTCCCCGAGTTTATATGCTAGTTTCCCCACCGTTAGGGGTACCGATTATGTTGAAGATATATAGTAGTTTCCAGTTTGAATAATAAGTTATTCAAAGCATAGGCCAGGAATACCATTCAAATCTTATTAGGGGGAAAAAGTGGACTGGCTTCCCTTTCTTTTGGATGAGAATCTAGCCTTTTCTCATTATATTCTGAGCACACTGAAGTGCTTTGTTGTTGCACTGGTTTAGTGCTTTCTCCTGATAATTATTTTACCATACCTCACCTTATTGAGTGTGGTGTTAATTTGGTTCAGCTCTTCGGTGTGCCCAGTTTCCAGTACCTTGGTAGTTTGCTCAAGGCATTCTCAAGGCATTCCTCAAGGCGAGGAATGCCGAGAACTGTCTGTTGACAGTTCTCAGGGGCCAGTTTCAAGCATGTCCTGTCAGAATTATTTATTTATTTATATATATACTAGAAGGTACATTGGGTTTGTGAGGGTACATAGCATGGTGTTTACATTCTTGTAAAGCAAGATTTGTTGCTTGGATTGCTTGCCATCTTTCAGATTTTGGAAAGGGAGCCAGATTTTGATTCTGGCTTCCAGTAGACACTCGTGAATCTTAAAGCCCGGCATGGTACCCAAGATTTTTAACATATTACAAGGATAGCTTCGGGAGACATCAATGGGCTAACTTGAAACAGACATTTTATTACATTCAACCAATGATTGAAATAGGTTTTGGGAACTAGGTACAGTATATGGTAAGGCTATATCCAGGAATTATGCTTGAGGATCACAAGGGAATCTATCCTTAATTATTACAAATAAAGAAATAATTTAAATTGGTAAAAACTTGACAAAAGATAGCTAATAAATATCTCCATTAGTACAGAAACTGAAAATTAAAAAGACAAGTAAATTGAATTTGGCTCTAGCAAGCTGTTCCCTTTTGAATTCTGTGACCCTGGCCAACCTATGTTCACGCTGCACCCTAGACCATTCACCCTGCCAATTTGGGTGAATGGAACATACCCCAAACACATGGCCTCCAACTTTGAACAGACACATTCTCTTACAGTATACCTGTATACTGTATTTTGAAATAATGGAAGATGTTCACAGTCCCCATGGCGTAGTGGTAAGACGCTCGCCTGGCGTTTCACAAGTGCTTTGTCCTGGGTTCGTATCCTGACCGGGGAGAATTTACTGGGCGCAAATCCTTAACTGTAGCCTCTGTTTAACCTAACAGTAAAATGGGTTCCTGGGTATTAAACGATTTGGCGGGGTCGTATTCCGGGGAATGTAGGATTAAGGACTTGCCTGAAACGATACACGTGCTAGTGGCTATGCTATACAAGACTGTAAGAACTCTTATACTGTATATATAAGTAAAAATAAATAAATGTTACTTGGTCAGTTATTGGGTGTGGCCATTAACTGGATGGGTAATGTGGATGGCCTCACCTTGGTTAGGCAGATCCTGATAAGCATAACAGACTTGGAATCCCTGAGAATCCCTGAGTGTGCCAGTTATAGCAGTATGCCAGTTATAGCAGTATGCCAGTTATAGCAGTATGCCAGTTATAGCAGTATGCCAGTTATAGCAGTATGCCAGTTATAGCAGTATGCCAGTTATAGCAGTATGCCAGTTATAGCAGTATGCCAGTTACTGTATAGCAGTATGCCAGTTATAGCAGTATGCCAGTTATAGCAGTATGCCAGTTATAGCAGTATGCCAGTTATAGCTGCATGCCAGTTATAGCTGCATGCCAGTTATAGCTGCATGCCAGTTATAGCTGCATGCCAGTGATAGCAGCATGCCAGTGATAGCAGCATGCCAGTGATAGCAGCATGCCAGTGATAGCAGTATGCCAGTGATAGCAGTATGCCAGTGATAGCCGTATGTCAGTTATAGCCGTATGTCAGTTATAGCAGCATGCCAGTAATAGCAGCATGCCAGTAATAGCAATATATTTGTAATAGCACTGTCAGTAATATTTAGCATTATGCCTGTTATAGTAGTGTCAATGATATTTAACATATGCTAGTAATAAGTGTCGGTAATGGCATCATGCCAGTAATAGTAGTATGCTGGTAATAGGCATATACTTACCATTAATGGCAGGATGCCAGGATTTGTCCATAAAGTTTAGGATGGATGAGCAAGCTGATCAACTAATCCTATTTTTTTGAATGAATACTGAATAATATATTTTTTGTTCAATACGTGTATTATGTTTAATAGATTACAGTGGAAACAATGCTTGTACTTTCTATTTGCAGGAGCACAAGTTATCCTTCAAGTGTTTGGACGACAACAGCTACAATCGTGAACTTTGTGGGAGTTATTTTGACAACTACAATAGGTGTAGAGAATTTTGGGTATGTATAGTTATAGATTAAATTGTATTTCTAGAACTCCCAGAACCCCATCAACCAGGTATCAACCAGTATGCAGAACTATTACACTAAGCACTATTCCAGTATTTTTATCGAGGCTGGCCCCAGGCCGGTGCTCGGGCAGTAGAAGAACTCTGAAACCCTCTCCAGGTAAGCATAGGTTAAGAAATGATCATTATTATTTTTGATCTGATAAATTGTAGTTCTTCTGAAATCCATGAAATAGTATTTAACAGCAGCCGTAGGGAGCCGGTCGGCCGAGCGGACAGCACACTGGACTTGTGATCCTGTGGTCTTGGGTTCGATCCCAGGTGCTGGCGAGAAACAATGGCCAGAGTTTCTTTCACCCTATGCCCCTGTTACCTAGCAGTAAAATAGGTACCTGGGTGTTAGTCAGCTGTCATGGGCTGCTTCCTGGGGGTGGAGGCCTGGTCGAGGACCGGGCCGCAGGGACACTAAAGCCCCGAAATCATCTCAAGATAACCTCAAGATTTCCCTTTTCTTCACTCAATATATATTTTGTTTTCCTTGATTCAGTTTTTATGAAATTGTATTACAGTATTACATAAAGATTTTTACACATGTTACTTAGCATTAATTATTGAAAGCGTGTCATTTTACTAATTACATTGTATTATTTTGCAGAACCAAGTTAGGGTAGACCGCCGAAAGGCTGGCATAGTGCCGCACTTGCCACCGGCAGAAGAACGGGACCATATCAAGAAGGAATATATGGAGAAGATGAGAGCAAAGATACAAACACATTGACAGATATTTGCCCATAAATTGGTAGGAATGTTTATGTATTTTCATTATTTATTAATATTTATTTCAAGTTGATGGCAAACTTGTTTTTAAAATTTGGATTTCTGGTGGACATTTGGGACAAACAATAAAGCATACCAGTGTATAGTGTATAATGTTGTGTTGCAGCCTTCAATACAATGTACTACTGCTGAAGAATGTGTGTGCACCAGTGTTTTGAATATCATATAATGACAAAATGTTAAGTGAAAATGTCGCTGTCTTCGATAATTTGGTTGGTGTGTTAAAGGGAAACTGTGCTGCTAGAAACTTGGTATTCTCGCATAATTTGATGGTTATCTGAAGGTTCTTACTGAAGCTTTGAACGTATCTTATCTACTCAGTCTTTGAGCTGTTTTGTATTGCTATTTTAACTGTTCTCATGTTCAAGAACTAGAGCTTGATGGCAGCACATATTATTTAGAATGGGAGCATTAAGGCCTAAGGTAATGCTCTGTAAAAATATATATACTGTAGCTCTGTGAATTGTATTTTCATTCTTGAAATTAATTAAAACTTTATTACATTACAATGAAATAATTTTTAAATTATGTAATTTTTATAAGGTTTTCTTATTATCATGTTACATGTTTGCATTAATTTTCTTGTATATTTGACGTAATGTGTTGGTTAATATATTGGAATTCATGCAAGATGTATATAATGCATTTTTATCTAAATTTATTTTTTATCGAGCTATTTTATTATTAAACATTTACATTGTCCTGGAACCTGTGATGTATATTTGTAAATAATGAGACATAGAGACATATCATTAGTTTTTCTGCTTGTTACCTCAACCACGTAAATGGAATGCACTAGGAGAGTGATGTGGTGGAGGCTGACTCCATACACAGTTTCAAATGTACATGTGATAGAGCTCGAGAATCTAAACACCAGCAGATTGACTGTTGAGAGGCGGGATCAAAGACCCAAAGCTCAACCCCCGCAAGCACAACTAAGTGAGTATGTGTATCTCTTAAGTAGTTCAGCCAACAAAATTTTTCTGAGGATTACATTCCTGGAATGTTAATGCATACAAGATTTGTGAATATCAGACTAAAGGTAATATCATATAGAGAACATAGGGAATGCTCCAGAGACTTCCAAAATCCACCTTTTCTGAGGTGGATTTCCACTACTCGAGTGTCATCAGTTGCAGAGTTTTTGCAAGCCTACCAGGGACTATGAGTCACAACCTGGCCCCCCTCAGAGAGAGAAATGGAGCAATGGCCCATGAACACTTTACATTTAAACTGTTATCTTGCTATTGACCAGGGAAGGCGCCCAGAAAGGTAGGCGATTCAAAAGACTATTGCCTGGTTGAAAAGTGCAACCTATGTCCTCACAAGTGCAAAAGAACTCCCCTAGTAAGAATACAAACAAGCAAAACTTTTTCCAACTAACATCCCCCCCCTGCTCGTTAACTGCAACACCCCCTACAGGGGAAGGGGTGCCGGCCTGACTTACTCAGGCCAGCACCATCCAGTTCTTTGAATGATGAAAACCACAGATCGAAGCAAAGGAGGCTGTCAGGGTACCTCTGGGGCTCACTCAGACTGGCGTTTCATTACATTCAATGCTGATTTTCTGGGGGGAGCCATGTCAGCTTCCTGAAGTAACTACCCACAGGGAAGAACCTGGGAGGTGGCAGCCCCGCAGAGCACAACCTTACAAAGACGGCTGTCTGCTACAGAAACCCCAAAGCAACACAAAGAAGCAGAGGGCCTGGGACAATCACGAGAGACCTGGCAGCCAGGACCGTGTACGGCCCCCAAAACCCCCAAGCCTGAAAACAGTCCAAAGACATCTGAAAGAGCAGCACATATCCGAACATCATGGGTACAAAAGTAGACCACAGAGGCCAAGGCCAACAAAACAGCCACCAAAAACAAGCACGACCCGAAGAGACCACCACAAACCAAGGCAAAGACAGAAAAGATCCCAGTCCAAAGACTAAGAAGGCTCAGGCAGCGCATGAGCATGTCGGGGGTGAAAAATGCACGAACAAGCTAACGAAATGGAGGGAAGTGACATTTACCCTTAACACAAGCTGCTGCTGCTGCTCCGCCAATGGCACATGATACGAAGCGGCAGTATTTGGCATGAGATGCCGATCCAGGAAAAGCCAAGAGGACAAGAAACCCGGTTCGACACTGATGAAACCTGACGAAGAGAAAGAAAATTGCGGAAAAACTGCCAAGAGACGTCGTACTGTTGCCGAGACGAAAACCACAGGTGGGACACCATGAACAAAGCCGCCTGATCATCAAGCAAGGTGTCCTTATACAGTACTAAAAGAATTACAGTATACACATTGTATAATTATAATATACTGTATTGCATCATAAATAGTTCTGATATTAATGCCATATTAATCACCAAGCTTGTTACTGTAAGGCCACTCTGACGTTTCATCACCAATTCCTTCTTTTCATGAATTGGTAATAATTCTGGGAGGGACCCCTCACTATCTACCCACATTTATCTCTGGCACCACCAGGCCATAACTCGATACACCTTGGAGATCCCTCCACTGCTTACCAGGAGTCTGGACCAGAATTTGGCTTACTTTGTGAGGGGTAGGGAAGCAGGGGATCAGAAATAAACCACACATCTTTGGAAAGTGCACTAGCAAGCATTGGGGCACCCCCCCCCCCCCCTCTAAAAATGACTTTTTGAAAGAAAAAAGGCACTCAAAATGGAACAAGCCAATAATAATTTTTGCTGATATGCCCAACTGCCACCAGATGTCAGCCCAGGTCACTCAAGATTCCAGCCACCTCTCATTGACTTCATGCTTTCATCTAAGTGGTGTTTGCTTTTCCTTGAACATATGTTCTGCTGGGGGCCATTGCTCAATTTTTTGTTAATGCTTCAGGATTGTTACACCAACCACATTGTGTGCGCTCCATGTAGTGGCACATTTCCCCTCCCCCCCTCTTGTCAACACAGCCATGGACTCGTCCCAACCCTGGATGAACCAACTCGCCACAGGTCTGTAGTAGAGTTAAGTAGAATGAGAAGTTCGGATGATGACCCCGTCCGGACGTTGCACCTCTCGTCCTTTTGGCTCACCCGAACGGGAACAGGTCACCTGCATCTTTAGTTGCAGGAGGTACAGGAACTTCTGCAGCCAATGTCCACAAAATAATACAACTGACAAAATTGAAGCTTCTAAGCTGCCGATACCTGTGGAGGAGGCTAAGTACCCCTGATCAATTCTTATCGCTTATATCGAGACTCTTGTTCTGGCTTTCGTTGACAGTTTCACCACGGAATAACACTTGCTCTGGTACCTTCTGACTTTGTTGTCTGGAGCTTGACACACATGCACCAAAGCCCTTTCACTGCTTTCCAAGAATTTTTTTTTAAATTATAGCCTTGCCCACACAATTTGGTTTCCCATATTTAGGAAGTGGAGAACAGAAACACAGACCTTATAAAAGAGCATTTAGTAACAAAAATAAGCATTCTAGAGAAGCATTTATATATCTTCAATATGGCAACTAAATTCTCAAATACCCACCTGGCCACTGATTGTTGGGGGTTTGAAAATTAGATCACACCGGATATTACTTTTACTGGCAGCGCTCATCTTGGCGCATCACAAACTTCTAGTAGTCAAGCAAACTTTAGCCTCTAGTAAATATGATTAATCGTTACTTTAAATGTAATTATCTCAGACTAGCAATGTTAACTTTATCCACAAAATTACAGTAATCATCACCTCAACATGTCATAAGGCTTCAGCCATCAAATTAAATTACACCAAAATGGATGCACTCTTCACAGCATTATCATAAATCATATAGAAAATACATAATTATACACCATAAATGCATCGGTAATAATATTAAAGAAACATCTTGTCTCCCAAGACAAACTAATTCAAGGGACAAGGGGAGAGTTACATGATCTACCTGATTTATGCGACAGATTCCTGTTTCTGTTGACCCTCCACAGAAGCTCTCTCGTCATCACTTTCAGTGATTCTCTTTTCTTAATTAGCATGTTCCTGATACTTTTATTAGCAATCGCCTCCTTTTTCCTCTACCCTTGTACCCATGCACTCATCCTTAATTGCAGCTTCTCCTTTAGGTGACCAGGTATTGGAGGGAGAAGGAACACTGCAACCAGCTTTCGGCCCCCTTTAGCATGAGGCTACCGACAAACTGCCCTCCTTCTGCAAGAAAATCCAGACATATTAACTGACAACTGTAAATAATGCATATGACCTCACACTTAGGGTGTCACACAACTCTGTATACTTGGAGTTAAACAGGTGACCCTGCCCTTCAGGTAACTACACGTCAAAATGTCACTAATTAGTTCCCAGGTAAACAGGAGCCTACATTGGCTCATAGGCTTCTTCACTGCCATGTTGCATTGTCTCACAATCACTGCTGCACTGCACTAAGCTATGAAGCAATAGGCAATCACACATGCTCTCCTTCCTTACTGTAGCACTTGCACTGGCCACAAAGTTGCTTATATAGCAGGACTGCACTTGTAATTCACTGCACTTCATACCTCAGGTACTACTGACTCTTGTAGACCAAATTTTGTGAAATATATGATGACGGTACAACAAAATTTATACCAAGACAGATACGGAACTGGAAAGCAGGATTGGTTCAACAGATATTACATGAGAGGGCCAGAGAATAAGAGATATAAAATGGAAACAATATAGGAAGAGGCTGAACCCTCAAACATACCAGCAATGTAAACAAGCAAACAATTACACGATAGTGAGAAGATAGGTAGAAAGAAATTTTGAGAGATAGTGGACAAATGTAAAACAGAACCAGGCCTGTTCAATAAATTCATTAAAAGTAAATTGCAGGTAACGAATAATATCTAGAGGTTGAAATTGAGGAACACGTTCACTCAGAATGAAATTGAAGCGCGTGTAATGCTAAACGAATAGTTTGAAAGGGTGGTGCAAAATGAGGTTTACAAAGACCCAAACAAAATGCAGATTTCAGAGAACAGAGTACACAGAGGTGTTTCAAAATGAAGTAGAAAAATCACTGAAGCAGCTAGGAAAATCAAAGCAGTTGGCAAGATGGAGTATCCACCTTGGGTTCTGTGGGAATGAACACTGAAGAAGCTAGGAAAATCAAAGCAGTTGGCAAGATGGAGTATCCACCTTGGGTTCTGTGGGAAAAATCACTGAAGAAGCTAGGAAAATCAAAGCAGTTGGCAAGATGGAGTATCCACCTTGGGTTCTGTGGGAATGAACATTTGAGCTGAACATTCCACTTCAGTTGATTTTTCAGACATCATTGGCATTCTTGGTGATATTTAGCGCCGTCTGATTATTCCGCACATTTGATGGTGCTACACAGCCTTCCCGGTTTGGTGCCTTCTTTTGATAATTACTTACTTCAGACATCATTATGTACAGAAATCCCTGTAGAAATACAGTACCATATGGAAAAATGCAAATACTGTATATATCGGGTCTACAAAAATGGTAGCAGAAAAGATCCTTTAACTTAGACCTGTATTACTGACAAGCATGGTAGTCAAAACACTAGACAAAATAATTAAAACCAGATGAGTAGAATACTGTACCTGAAAAAAATGACAGTATGGTTATTGAATAGGAATATCTTGTGTAACAAATGAACTTCGTTTCTATGATAGTCAAAGAGATTTTACACAAAATAAATGGTTAGGTTAAGTGTTTATCTAGATCTAAAAAAAGTCCTTTGTCAGAGTCCCACATAAAAAGTTGTTCTGGAAACTGGAAAATGCTGGAGAGGGATGTCAGGAAAACTTTCTGACAAGGATGAAAAATGTTCTGATAGAAAAATGACGACAGTAATCGGAGATAATGTACGAGACTGGAGAAATGCAATTACTGGAGTACCAGAGTATTTGTCAAGCACCGGTAATGTCCACTGTCTGTGTAAATGTTCTATGAGCAGGAATGCAAAATTATAAGGTGTTTGCTGATGATAAGTTACTAGGGATGATAAAAGAGTTAAACAATTGTTATGCATTTCAAGATGATTTGGACAAAATAAGTGAACTGGAGCAACACTTGGCAGATGGAATTAAATGTGAATAAATGCCACATTATGGAATGTGGAATTTGAGAAAATAGGCCACAGACAACCTCCAAATTATATGAAAAGGCAATAAAGACATTGACATATATCTAGATATGGTTGTGGATAGTAAACTGTCGCTAGAGAACCACACAAAGAAAATTGTATGAGCCTCTGCTATGCTTTCCAACTTCAGCATTGCTTTTAAATACATGCATGGTGAAATATTACTGAAATTATTATTTATATTAACACTTTCGCGCTCTCGGCGCTCAAAAAAAATCAATACCCCAGATGCTTTCGGCACTTCGCGCGCCTACGCGGTAAGACCGAAAAAGTGTACACTCTTTTGACTGTCCTGACAATAATTGAAGGCGCACGTATTTAAATTTGGTATCACTGTGTTCGCAATGAAATTGTCTATAAGAGCATGCCGCCCAAGCATAAGGAGTATCAACACCAAATAAAAAACTATGCAGATCACTCGCCGAGAGCGCCAAACAGCAACAAAATGTTTCCACTCTCTTTATGGTTGCGAAACCTACAGTTGTCCTACATCGCTAATTTTGGTATCATTGGAATCGCAATAAAATTCTCTACACAGACATATGCATATGAATGTTTAATATAGGTAATTGGCCACCCACAAGAGTGTGTGAAGTGGAGAGTAGTTAGCCGCGAGCGCACTGGCGAAAACACAGGGGGGAAATCATGCTTGGAAAGTTTATACATTTATACGTTTCCTGACCCTACTTTTCTATGTACGTATTTCTTTTTTATACCAATGTGTTCGCAATAAAATTTTCTATAAGATGAAATGTATAACATTTGTACAAAGCATGTGTAAGAGAAGCGCCAAATATAGAACCACGTCGCTCAGTATGCGTTCGCGGCAGAAACGAACGCATTGTTTTCGTTCGTTTGATGTTTGTCATGTTTATACTTGTTGAAACATTTTATAATTTGTATGACAGTGATCGCAGTAAAATTCCCTACACAGACATATACATAACACATACAAATATTTCCCACGTGTTGGATATATTAACGGCTAAAGGGAACCCACTGCCACACGCCCGCCACACCCAGAGCCACACCCCCAAACATACTTTGTGTTTTTTTTTTTTACTCATAGAAGTTTATGTGATATAATATCAACTTGTAGTTGAGACTTGTAGTTGAGACGTTGTTCTGAATCTATAATTCTTCTATTTCTTGGATGCACTGGAGGAATATTGTCTTCTACAGGAACCACCAAACTTGTAGTAGAATCTTCTATGAAATCAGAAACATCAAGTGGTTCTATGTCCTCAATGTCCATTTCAGAATTTGTGGTTGATGAGTGGGCTTGAGGTGTTGAGGTGAACAGAGGACGCCTCGCACCAGATGGGCCGGGTGTTGAAACTGCCGCGTCAGCAGGAGGAGCTGCGCTGGCATCTATGTCGGGAACATGTGGTATACTTGTTGTTGTTGGTTGTCGTTCTCCCTCCCGGTGAGGGAGAACGGGAATTTCATTGAGAAAAATCTGAGAGTATCCCCATCCATTTCGGTTAAAAAATGGAATTTATAGAAATATTTTTTCGATGGACTAGAAAAGTAGGCTGTTATGCGGAATCGTAAGAAAAAACAGTGACGAGTTATCTCTAATCTAAAGCGCGAAAGTGTTAATATTAAATATTAAAAAAATTTCACATCTTTGAGACCAAAATTATAAAGCTTCGCTACTAGATGGCTTCCAAAATTTAAAAAAACAAGGATTATGAGAGGCTACAGGCATTAAATATGCCAAAGCTAGAATATAGCAGAAAAAGAAATAGTATGATAATTCTGTTGAAAATATTAACAAGAATCTCTAGAATTGACAGATGAAGTCTCGAAACTTTCAAGTTCGAGAACAGACAATCTTAGATTTAAGCTAAGGAAAGAAAAGCACCAAAAAAAATGTTAGAAAGTTCTCTTTTTAGTAAATATTGATAGATAGTTGGAACAAGACAAGTGAGATGGTGGTTGATGCCAAAATCATCAGTAGTCTTAAAGTGGGGTGCAAATCCATAACTGTAGCCTCTGTTTAACGCAACAGTAAAATGAGTACTTGGTTGTAACAACGATTCTTCGCGGCGGGGGATCGTATTCCAGGGACCTGCCCGAAACGCTATGCGTACTAGTGGCTTTACAAGAATGTAACAACTCTTCTATATATCTCAAAAAGTGTCATATGACGGTACTGGGAGGATGAGACATCACGAATGTAGCTCTCATCCTGTAAGTTCACTTAGGTAATTACACATGCATACATACATATACAGGAAATAAAATACATTATGCATTATACAGAAAGCTAATATTTATTTTCAGAAGTGACGCCGACACACAATTTAAAGAAATGGACTACTCACTATTAAAACTGTGTCAAAGCAAAGAGTGCATGAAGAAAATGAATGTATGGCACATTGTGGCGGTGTCAACGGTAGTAGCCTTGCTGGCCGTAGTTGTGGTGAAGGTCTATCCCAGCTACCCAAGTGGAAAAGTGGGTGTGCTCTTCTATTACTCAACTAGGTAAGCTGCCATTCAAGCATAAATTTATATATATACGAATATGCTTTACTATTTTTGTTCTTAATATGGTTGAAAGTGAGAAATTAGAAATGAAGTGTAATTTTACAGTAATACATTTTATGGTCACAATATCATAACATTCAAAAGGTTTTGTATTTATTTCTGAATAAGAAAATTTGGTTAATAAGAACCTAAGAATACGGTAGTACAGTAGACCAATTGGCCCATATGAGGCAAGTTAACCTATTTTCACTTCTGTTGTTGTTGTTAATTTAGGGGCAACAATGATTGAGGGATCAGATGCCTCACATGGGCCAATTCTGGCCCATGTGAGGCCAGAATTGGCATACCTGTGAAGGGTTAATTGTGAAGCTTAATGGAGAAATGAATGTCGTCTATTGGCAGAAATGAATGTGCCTCGCGGCAAATAAACATGAACCTACACCAACGTATCAACCTAGGAAAACATGGTGAAATGAGGCGTACACTGCCACCAGATCAAGATCCAAAAACGTACCCACTTCGTGCCTCGAGAAGCACTTCCGTGCCTCTTAGAGAAGCCAAGGTACTTGCATTATCTGGTGCAAAGCACCTCAAAAGGAGAAAAATTCCAAAGGGCAGAACTCCCAAATCTTTGTAGGAGAAGATAACTTGGACCAAAGGCAGGAGCAATGCCAGTGGTAACTAGAAAAAATAAAGCCAATCTCATGTAGTCATGGTGTATTGTGAATTGGGGGTTTACACAACAGGAAGACCAAAATGCATGCAAGTGAAGCCTGAAATAGGAACAAATACAAACATAGGCCCTGCAAAGATTTGGGAGTCCAAACGGAATGCCAACAGTAAGCTGAGAATTGTGTGTGAAGAATGGCGTGAACCCTGGAATACTAAGCATATGAATAAGTTATATACTGTATATACATTCTGAAATTCACCCAAAATTGTAAAATGATTTTTAGGAATTTTCTGAGTAAGCAGAGTGGTGAGGGAGAAAGTGAGAGTGAGGGAGGGAGAAAGTGAGAGTGAGGGAGTGAGGAAGTGAGAGTGAGGGAGGGAGAAAGTGAGAGTGAGGGAGGAAGGAAGTGAATGAGGGAGAAAGTCAGAGATAAGGAGAGAGTGTGCTGGTACAGCCAGATGGCTCATTGTCTCCCTTGCCTCATGCCGCCATTATCGTTGCACCTCCAACACCAATGTCTGCCCAATTGAAATATAATTCCACTTTTTCTTACCATCTTTAGCACCATAACTGTATCTGTAAGATATCTTGTTACTAAAAAAGGCAAATTACAGTGCATATACAGTAATGTGAAAATGAACAATAACATTGTACACTGTGAAACCATGGGGCAGTATCCACTGTCTAATCAGCTCATTAACTAATTATAATCTGCCTTGCTAGTCGGTTTTATTTGTGATTACTGTATTGCTTATCATTCAATATGTGGTCTGTCCAGTAATACATATTAATAATAGTTTGGCTAATAACTGAAATGTTATTTTAATAGCACTGAACAGATATTTGAAATGTAAAAATTGTACATTGTAATCATAGTCCATCCAGGTATCTGTTTTTTTAAATCCATTTTCAGGGTCAGACAACAAGTTGTTTATAAATGTATACAACATAATAAATTTACAAAAATAAATAACTCATATTAGTTTGGTATTTAAATAATTTATTTATATTTGCTGTATTAATAATGGTCAGTGCCACACTTTTTTTTTTTACCAGTGTGCATGAAGATAGGAAGGAGTTTCGAGCAACGGAAGAAGGCATTGCATTATTGCCCGTCGGTCCTCACACACCCATCTTCATTGTAATCCACGGCTACACTGAGTCTTCCATCAGGCCTTGGGTAGTTTCTCTCACTAATGGTAACAACTAGAAACAACTTATTATTTTTCGTTTTATTTTTAATTAATTATCCAAAATAATTTTTCATTACTATCTTGTGTCTGTCACTATGTTCTTAAGAATAAGGTAGCGGTAAAGGCCTAGTTGATTGCTAGTTGCAGTTCCTTGTTGCTAGATCTGGTTTGACCAGTCCAGCAACCAGGAGGCCAGGTCGGGGACCGAGCCGTGGGGACGTTGTGCCCCCGAAATCATTGCAAGGTAAGACAGTAGAAACTACAGGCTCATGTAATGCTAGAGACTGATCATCTTTCTGAGGGGAATGCAAGAAAATGGGTTCGGACTAGGGCATGTGGAGAGAGAAGTCAGAAACTGGGACAGAAGTGGTAATGGGGAGCCAGTAAACTGTTGTAATGTCTTCAGTCAGACGTGGCTCAGCAGATATACCAAATAGGACAAAGTTCAGTCAAATGTGGAGTTTTTCTAGATTTCATCACTGAAAGTGACATGACTCCAATGGGATCTTCACTGATATTGCTATAGGGAGCATTTGAGTGGAACAGCTTAGAAATGTTAATTGTAAAAATGTGACTGTTATACAGAAGCTTTTTTTATAATACACACACAGCTGGCGGTATTTTTTGCCATTGATATATAGCCTAATGCTGCAATTCTCGGCCTTTTTCCTTTAGATTATACTGCAATATAAACAGAATCTTAATTCTTTTTATTCTGTAAGTGTCACATTGTTTTGTAAATCCATTACAGTAATATTTTTTTCTCCTCCAGCTCTGTTGGCTCATGACACGAAGAGTGTTGTCATTCTAGTGGACTACTGGGACCTGCTGACCATATCTCGCCCGTACATGATGATTAACGTCAGAAACATCGCAAATATTACAGCAAGCATGATTGATTTGCTTGTTGTGGAAAAAGGTGTAAAGTATGTGCTTTTCATTATATTAATTCATATTATTTAAAGTATTTTGATGAATATAGTAGTATAATATTATTACTGTATAGCAATTACTGTATTTTATTTTTAGAATTTTCAAGATGCTGGGCTCTTTTGTCAGTAGTAATAGGCATCCATCAGTCTCAGGAGACTATGGAGTTGTGCTCTGGTTGTCGGTCTGGAGTGGCCTCACGCACAAAGCCTGGGTAGGTTGATATGGAGAAGCTGTTATCCATGCAGCAGGTCCCCCCCCTCTCTCCACGGCACCGAAAGTCTCCAATGGAAAGGCAAACGCCAGTTATGTACTGTAATTCATAACGGGATAAGTACATAATCTCTCAAAAATGGTAGGCATTAGCCTGAATAAGATATAGGTATGATGTTTCTTCTGAATTGGCAGTTTGGATGATATTCATTTTATTGTAGCTGTTCATGGACCATGGAGGGAGCTGGTCGGCCGAGCGGACAGCACGCGGGACTTGTGATCCTGTGGTCCTGGGTTCGATCCCAGGCGCCGGCGAGAAACAATGGGCAGAGTTTCTTTCACCCTATGCCCCTGTTACCTAACAGTAAAATAGGTACCTGGGTGTTAGTCAGCTGTCACGGGCTGCTTCCTGGGGGTGGAGGCCTGGTCGAGGACCGGGCCGCGGGGACACTAAAAAGCCCCGAAATCATCTCAAGATAACCTCAAGATAACCATTGTCTGATCCCCAACACCAGTGTATCTAACTGGTTGGCTCTGTCTGAGCTGCCGCTATATGATTTAACTCTGGATTTGCAACCTGTCCGCTCAAGTGGTCCCATTGGACAGAAAAATGGTGTACTAAAACACCCACACTGAACCTAACCTAATCTAACCAATGACCCATGCATAGAAAATGTGAACTTTAGTGAGCATCTATGATTTACAGTACATTATACTTTGTCCATTAGGGATTTTGACGTCAAAATGCAATGTATTATTTGAGACGATAGGTTGGGATTTGTCCTCCCCCCTGATTCTTCAACTGGGCTATGTGTTTTTCCATCTTTCCCTTCCTTAGATTCCATTGGATTTATCTTGAGAACATTAGAATAGAGTAAACTGTAGAAGTCTATGTAAATTATTTTAATTTTACTCGAATTGGGGGTGGGCCCAATATAAATTCCGAGAGTAAACAGTACTGGTCACCACCTGGCTGCTGGGGTTTGTCTTATTGAGTCTCTTGTTTGGGAATGCTTTTCCCCCTTTTTTTATGTATAGCCATTCACTTCATGGAGGTTGATGGCTTTCCTCCTTCTTTCCATGGGAGCTGGCTTGGAGAGCAACCACAGGAGCTAGCTCAAAAATAAAGCACTGCGAGTATTGAAACAGGGCTTTCTGAGCTGTCCTCGGGTTCTAATTTGTCCTTTACTGCTTGAAGCATTTTGGAGTTGTCTGAACATAAAGGGAGCTTGCAGCCTCTTCCGATGCTGTTAACATGTTTATAAAGTAGTATGCTACATCAAGTGATGGTTGATGTTGTGAATAGTGGTACTTGAGCAACCAGGGGCCAGATTCACGAAAGCACTTATGCAAACACTTACGAACCTGTACATCTTTTCTCAATCTTTGGCGGCTTTGTTTACAATTATTAAACAGTTAATGAGCTCTGCAGCACCAGGAGGCTGTTTATAAAAATAACAACAGTTGATTAGGAAGTTTTCATGCTTGTAAAGTGTTTAATAAATGTAACCAAAACCGTCAAAGATTGAGGAAAGATGTACACGTCCGTAAGTGCTTTCGTGAATCTGGCCCCTGGACAGCTAAGAAAGTGACATTTCAGTGCTCTTAACTCACTACTTTTCTGCTTAATACAAAATTACCTCTCAACAAACAGTGGATTGGAGGTGCTATTTTACTAGGTGAAAATATTCTTTGGTGTGTTTCACTAATTCTGGGAAGAGATACTGTGTTAATATTTTTTTATAGCTGTAGAATCAAAACCCAAATGTTAATCTTGTGAAAACAGTACAGTATATTTTCCCTTGTAGATTGTATTGTTAAGTAATATTTAAATTAGTTAATTTTAATCAGTTTTTCTTTCATTTGATATCTCCAGGCTGACCAACATTCATGTGATGGGCTTCAGTTTGGGTGGAAGAATTGGTGGACTTGTTGGAGATAGAATACAAACAGGTACCATTGGGAGAATCACTGGTAAGCTTGATATATTATTATAATAGTAATGAGAGGCAGGAGATCATTCCTGTGTGTTTCTTGTGTTCACTTGTATCTGAACCTTGTTCATAGTTTTTGTCACAGTCAGGATCTATTATGACACCCAGGAGAGGTGGCCCACAATTTTTTCCAAGATGGTGTCTGTTTACTGGAGGCCTGAGGAAAGATATGCAAGTCCCGTGTACCCACGGGACTTATAAAGCTTACGATAGACCTAAAAGCGACCCTGATTGCTATGTGCAGTTGAAGGGTTAAGGTTTCGTAGCTCGAGTGCAGTATCTTAGCGGCCTACTGAAGGGGCTTTCCTAGAAACAATCTCTTCATTGTACAAGACTGGATATTTACATTTGTTCAACCTGCATTTGCTCCCTCATTTATAAGCCATCGTGATGAAATTTTGTAAACTGTACTGTATCGTAATTGCTATATAATGAGAAATGACTATTAGTTGTCCAATATTAATTTTTTTCTAAAATCTGGCAACTAAAATGCTGGTGTTGAGCATTTACTATCAAATTGATTATATTACTATAATGGTTATGTATTTTTTCAGGTATAGATGCATCATATCCTTGGCTACCACCTAAGACCAAGGATGAGTTTTTAGATGCTGGCGATGCATCTCTCGTGGTCAACATTCGAACTTCCTTCATCGGATCATATTCTCCTCCGGGTCACATTGATTTTTATGCCAATGGAGGACTTTCCCAGCCAGGATGTGATGATTGGTTTCTCCCTAACCAAGGTTTGTTTGTGTTCAGGGAGACTTTATTAATATATACAGTACAGTGTGTACTTAGAATTTTGTAGATATTGTTATATTATGATATTAGCCCTCCAGGTTTTGGCCTCTAGTCTATGGTAGGTGATGTTTTGACTTGCAAGAGTGTCTTCTTGAGGTTATCTCGAGATGATTTCGGGGCTTTAGTGTCCCCGCGGCCCGGTCCTCGACCAGGCCTCCACCCCCAGGAAGCAGCCCGTGACAGCTGACTAACACCCAGGTACCTATTTTACTGCTAGGTAACAGGGGCATAGGGTGAAAGAAACTCTGCCCATTGTCTTGTGTGACATGTTACTTGAAGAGCTTCAAATTTTTATGGGTGTCTTGCAGGTACCATGTTTTATACCCCAAGTATGTCCATTGTGATCTCGGGTGTGCACTGTGTTTGATGTCCATTTCCTCGTGTGCTATTATAATATCACCCTAGGTGCATGCCCTGTTTTAGTGGGATTGGGAGTGGGATTTAGTGAGATGTTTACCATCTCTGAAATGGTTTATCAGTATATGGGGATCACTTTTAGAATTTCTGTAGCCTTGCATGTCATGGGGAATTGGTACAGGGACCATCGGAGCATCTTTATATGAGAAATGGATTGTTGAGTGTAATAGAACGCTCCTTTTCTTAGCTGGTCCCTCAGATGCTTCCATTCCTACCATATTGCCTTATCATTTCAAACTTTCTTGATTGGCTTGGGCCTAAAGTGGATGTTGTGTGCTCTACCGATATGTTTTGTGACTGTTGTAGTCACAGTGGTGGTCGGAGTAACCTTTGTTTACTAACTCCTGAAATAGTTAGCGGAGTGATGCAGTACTTAATTTTCCTTGTATTTTTTATTAGTACTTGGAGGGGTGTTGAGAGTGTTGCTCCCACCATTGTTTTTCTTCCAAACTTTGTGACAAAATCCTTTAAAATGTTTGTGTCACAGTGAGGGGACAAAATCGATGAGAGAGTGGTGGGTAATGTGAATTTTTGTGGCTCTATATATTGGGTCTAGCTTAGTGGTTTTTGACTGATGGGTCAGGGAATCTAAATTCTGATAACTGGTACAGTATAGCTGAATCATTGTGAATTAGCAAGTGGTGAATTTCCTAATTCATCACTTATATGTAGAGCCAAGAGTGTAAAAAGATTGGGAACCACTGCTTTAGCTCACGGAGCATCTGAGTGACTGGATCAGAAAGGGAGTGATGTTTGTATAAATCATTAGGAAAAACAGGAGAAAACCCTGCCTTATTAATGTCAGTGAACCGTTTTTCATGCATTTTTTATACTTTACCTAGACATTTAATATAAGTAAATTGAAAATTCAATATAATGTTAGCAATTAATGTGTTAAATGACTGTAGGAGGAAAACCTACCTTGAGGTGCTTCCTTGAGGTGCTTCCGGGGCTCAGCGTCCCCGCAGCCCGGTCATCGACCAGGCCTCCACCTAGGTGATTGCCTTGCATAAGATTTGTATTCTAACAAATTTTAAGTATCTGTGTTTTATATCTTTCAGCTCATCAAGTCTGCAATCATTACCGCTCGGTTGCCCTTATGATAGAGGCCGTGAAGCACGCAGATGACACGGTGTTCCCTGCTTGTGGCTGTCCTGATTGGGAGAGCTTTAAAAACCACACCTGTGACTGTCAGACTGTTAATAATTTTGGCTTGTATCCAAATACCAGGTAAGATTTCTTTAATTTAATATGCCTGTAGCTGTCAATCACAATTTCACTATCATTGGTGTCTTTAAAATTTCTACATGTTATTTTTATTTAGTAACTAAAGTTGGTTTATTTTTAAATTCAATGTTTACTTTACTGCCCTCTTCCGAGTGTCACAAAATCAAATACAGAGCAACAACTTGAAACAAAAGTTAGTGAAGCGTTCTAAGATGATTCAATTTTTCACATTAACCATTACCTCACATTTACTGATAATAGTACAAACAAAAATCTTGAGCCATCAATATGCTATGGCAATCAACTTTTAATTCCACCAAACTTGAATACTTTCATAGGCAGACACAATGACGAAAACAAATCATATAATATTAGCAGGTTCAAAATACTGTAAGTACCAGTACTGTATAAGAATAACGTAATATCATACCTCGGAACAAAACTAACTCAAGGGGAATAGGGGAGATGAGTTACTGTCTTATAATAATAATAATAATAATAATAATTATAATTCATTGTCGGGGGGACAGGAAGCCAGTGTGTATTCATACATGTTAGGCTTTTATCGAGGTCCCTCCTCCCCCAAGGTCGAATTTTACAGGGTACTGATCCGGCCCAGGATGCAACCCTACAACAAGCTGGCTAACATATGAGTACCTAATTACTGCTAGGTGAACAGGAACATTAGGTGATAGGAAATAGGCCCAACCATTTCTGCTTCACCTGGGATTCAAACCAGGAATTCTCGATTGTGAGTCGAGAACAAACCCGACTGTACTGCCGGGATGCTAAATAATAATAATAATAATAATAATAATAATAATAATAATAATAATAATAATAATAATAATAATAATAATAACTTGGCTACAATAGTGGTATTGACGATGATGGACTCCTGGAGTCTTTCTATCATGCAAGTGACCAGAAACAACAGCTGGTAACTCCCTCTTTCCCTCTAGTACTGTACTTGGTGTGCCAGAAGATAGTATCAAAACCCTATGGGGAAAATTGCGAAACGGGACGTGATCAGGCGTCCCACAGATGGAACAGGTGTCCAGATGTCCGCTCATCATCAAGGTTGAACCAGGAGTCAGGTAACTTAGTAGATCGGAGCCGGTCGGCCGAGCGGACAGCACGCTGGACTTGTGATCCTGTAGTCCTGGGTTCGATCCCAGGCGCCAGCGAGAAACAATGGGCAGAGTTTCTTTCACCCTATGCCCCTGTTACCTAGCAGTAAAATAGGTACCTGGGTGTTAGTCAGCTGTCACGGGCTGCTTCCTGGGGGTGGAGGCCTAGTTGAAGACCGGGCCGCGGGGACACTAAAAGCCCCGAAATCATCTCAAGATAACCTCAAGATCTGCCACTGTCTCACCACAGGAGATACACTTCAAAGGGTTGATCCGATCTTCCTGCCAACAGTTGCAGGTTACCAGCGTGTGAACTGGTACCCCAGGCCCTCTCTGTAATGCTGTGTCATTGCAAACAGTGTAGCTTTTCCTCCTAGCTAACACTGCACATATCACTGGTATCTAGCGACTCTATACTTAGACCACCACTTCATGTAAATGCCACTGCAAACTCTGTTACTCTTAAGTTAACTGTTACTAGATTACTGCACTGCACAGACTTGCTGCCACAAAATTCAGCAATAAGACCTGCAGACTTAATACTTCACTGCTCACTGCACTGTCCTTCACTGGATAAGAATGACACGGATTCATTCCTTATTCATTCATTCAAGTTACAATCACTTCACTGCACTGTTCTTACCTTCTGACTTCTTCTGGTCGGGACTGTCCTCGTCGTCATAGGAATTATAGCAAGTAGGATGGGGAACAGGTCTAGAAAACTCTCCGTACTGATTGATCTAATGGTCTTGCGCGCGCACACACACATACACACACACTTGGAATTCAAATGCGGTCCCAGACCTTTAGGTGACATCAAGCTACAACTCGACTTCTGCTATTCTTGACTAATCGACATAAAGTAATACACCTTACAAATATACGCTAGGTTTCTCCTTGTGTCTTCCCAGAGGTCTTCAACTTCCCACAAAGACTTAACTTGGTGTGCGTCTGCGAATTTCAGCAAAATTTGGGAGTAAACACTAGCATGTCTTGTTGTAATGATGGATGAGGAAACGGTGATGCATCTCACACTAGTGAGGCATCTCACTGTCCTCCTCGGAGGTCACGTGACATCAGGTCACCTGTTGATTGGTCCTTGCTTTCAACTTGCTGCCATTCATATCCTTCCTTCACATCTGAGATTCTTGTCATCTTTGCCCTTAGTCCCTCTGGCACTGGAAACTCTGCTCAAGTGATGGTGCCACAACTGCCATTTTGGGAAAAATGGTGGATAGGTGACCCTCTTCCAGAATTTCCTTAAGATTGAAATTTCTTTTAAACTATGCAACTTGCAAACTTCCTAATTGAAATGATCCTTTAACCTGATCCCTGGGCTGTCAAGTGTGTACATGGGGTGGAGAAAATGACTTGACGCTGGGAAAGGTTTGAACGAGACGGTAATCATAACATGTGCTAATTACCTCTCTCAATATTAACGTTTTCATCATATTTAGTTTTCAAATTGTGAAAACTTCACAATTTGAAGTTGTTGCTTCAACAACTTCTGCTGTCAGTGCATTCTAGTTGCTAATCACCCACACAGGGAATGAGGTCCTCCTTATATCTCTTTAACTCAATTGCGTATCCAGCTTCCACCAATGTTCCCCTTATCTCTGTCCTTGTGAAAACTGTTTAAATAGACCTCCTTTATCCACTTTATCTACTACCCACAATATTTTTAATATAGTTATCATATCCCCCCCTGTTTCTTCTCTCCTATAAGGTTGTGAGGTTGAGTTCTCTCAACCTATCCTCATAGCTCAGGCCTCTCAATTCTGGTACTAATCTAGTTGCAAGCTTCTAAACTTTCTCAAGTTTGTTTATACTTCACAAGGTGTGGGTTCCATGCTAGAGCCGCATACTTAAATAATGGTCTCACATGTACTTGAAAACCTTATTTAGATTCTTAAATGACATTCTTATGTTTGCTAACTTCCCATATGCAGCTAATGTTATCCTGGATCACATGAGCTTCTGGTGTTAGTGTTGGGTTTATATTAGTGTTAGGATTATGCCTTTTCTTTGTGGTATTGTTAAATATGTACCACAATACCTCCTGTCTCCCTTACCTATTTTCATTACTTTGCACTTATTTGGGTTAAATTCCAGCAGTCATTTATCTGCACACCCCTGAAGTTTATTAAGGTGTTCTTGCGTTTCCTTTTGGTGAAAAGAGACAATTAGATTTTTATTTGGCTTAACAACATCTTTACTGTAATTTGTAATGCTGGGTATCAACGGTTCAGGTAAGAAGGACACTGTATTTATGTTATGCTCTAACCTGACGGTTATAAATCTTGCAAATAATAGTTGCAAGTAAGGTTTCGTAGAGGCACTTTCAGCATGCACTAGATATTAGTGCAGTACAGTATCTGCATTCCTGGCTCTTACCCATCTTGTAACTGTTTTTCTTAAAGGGGCTGGTCAGTGGTCATTGAGCCTAGCTCTGGCATAACTGAGCCTTAGTCCAACACACCGCTTCTCTGAGACTCGTCCATCGCATTCCAAAATCCAGGACTAGAATCTGGCTCACACTGCACAGTAACGGGAAGCTTGGGAGCTCAGAGACAGGCCAAAAACTGGGCGGGAACCCATCAGAAAGCATAGGCACAAGAAAACAAGCATATGCTTGAAGAAAATTAGGCATCCCTAAACGATGCCATAGGGTAAATATCTTAACTGTGATGCGCCTGACGACCACCATATGGTAGCCCAGGTCACCTGGTGATTCAGCCAGCCTGCTCTCTCACTCTTCCACCTGGTGCTAACAGTTCAACACGTGTAGCCTCTACTGGACCCATCTCTGGCTTTTCACGTTCAGCTAAGGGGTGCTTTCTTCCTTGTCCTGGAACATTAGGTCTGCCAGGGACCATTGCTTTGTTCCTATTTTTGCCTCATGATGGTGTAGATGCTACCTATATTGTGCATGCCCTGGTTTTTCATTTCATTCTGACTATAGCAAGAGTTACCTTCCATGGGATTGGTTTACATATCCCTATACCCCACCAGAGATACTGTTCTGAGAGGTTGTGAGTTGACTTCTTTCTCCCAGGCAGCTCATGAAACTTGGTCTACTCTACAAGGCTTATTGATGGGGAGAGAGAGTCTTTCGACTGAGTGCTTGTACACATATATTTCAAATGAAATAATGACTGTACAGTGTGTGCATGTAATTACCTAAGTGTAATTAGAAGATGAGAGCTACGCTTGTGGTGTCTCGTCTTCCTTGCACTCTGTCATATAATGCTTTGACACTACCGACGAGTTTGGCCTCCACACCTTCTAACTTAACTTATTCCAACCATCTACCACTGTATGCGAAAGTAAATTTTCTTGTATTTCTTCGGCAGCTTTGTTTAGTTTGCTTAAATCTATGACTTCTTCTTCCTGAAGTTATAAGTCTCAATAGTTCTTCCATATCATTCTTGCCGATTGCCATTATTATTTTGTATGTAGTGATCATATCACCTCCATTTCTTCTGTCTTCTAATTTTGTCATATTTGTTGCCTCTAACGTCTCCTTGTAGCTCTCGTCTTTCAGTTCCAGAAGCCCTTTAATTGCCTGTCTGCACCTCTTACAGTTTGTTGATGTGCCTCTTAAGATATGGGCACCTTGCAACTGCTGCATATTATGCACATGAACAAGTACAGATCCTTTCAGAAATCAAGCATTAAATGTAGTGAAACATTACAATCTTTTGCTCTGGCCTCCAGTAGCTCTCTGTTTCCACCCTGTTCCCCGTCTTCTGTGTAGGGTTACAGGGGTTCAGCACAGGCAGCTCCAGGGTGAGAGGGCAGGTTGGCTAAGTCGCCAAGGGACCCGAGTTGCCATCTGGTTGCAGTCAAGTGCATCATGGTTAGGGCATTTTCCATGAAAAAAGGATACTATATTTGTTTACCTTAGGGGGTACCAAATTGTTTTTAAGCAGTCATTTGCATGATTTCCCCTATCTCAGATTTTTTATCTTATCTTGATTTTGCTCTGGAGGGATTTTCACAGGTCAATTTTAAATCTGCAAGCTTCCCTTTATCTCAAAAGAATGTGGCCTATTTCTGTTTTGGCTTCTGATAAATGCATTGCTTCAAGCAGATGCATTTCAGAGGCCTGTAGGTGTTAGGCTAAAACTTAGTGGCACTAGAACCAAGCTCAGGAAACCATTAAGAAGCCTGAAAGGGGGGGGGGAAGGTTTCATTAAATTTGATGCTTTATTTTTAGTAAACCTACGAAATCGAACACTTCTCTCTCTAGACTGGGATTATATTAGTAAACCTATGAAATCGAACACTTCTCTCTCTAGACTGGGATTATATTAGTAAACCTACGAAATCGAACACTTCTCTCTCTAGACTGGGATTATATTAGTAAACCTATGAAATCGAACACTTCTCTCTCTAGACTGGGATTATATTAGTAAACCTATGAAATCGAACACTTCTCTCTCTAGACTGGGATTATATTAGTAAACCTACGAAATCGACCACTTCTCTCTCTAGACTGGGATTATATTAGTAAACCTACGAAATCGAACACTTCTCTCTCTAGACTGGGATTATATTAGTAAACCTATGAAATCAAACACTTCTCTCTCTAGACTGGGATTATATTAGTAAACCTATGAAATCGACCACTTCTCTCTCTAGACTGGGATTATATTAGTAAACCTATGAAATCGACCACTTCTCTCTCTAGACTGGGATTATATTAGTAAACCTATGAAATCGAACACTTCTCTCTCTAGACTGGGATTATATTAGTAAACCTACGAAATCGAACACTTCTCTCTCTAGACTGGGATTATATTAGTAAACCTATGAAATCGACCACTTCTCTCTCTAGACTGGGATTATATTAGTAAACCTATGAAATCGAACACTTCTCTCTCTAGACTGGGATTATATTAGTAAACCTACGAAATCGACCACTTCTCTCTCTAGACTGGGATTATATTAGTAAACCTATGAAATCGAACACTTCTCTCTCTAGACTGGGATTATATTAGTAAACCTATGAAATCGAACACTTCTCTCTCTAGACTGGGATTATATTTGAGCTATGCATGTAGAGAGCAGTACAATATACTAATCACTTTATTTGGGTCTTCGCTACAGTGTTTTTATTAATATCTAATTACTTTCCTTTCAGTGCCCTGGGTAAATTCTATTTTTCTACAAATTCAGAGCCTCCATATTCAAGACCACTTTAAAATTATGTTCAATTTTAATGTAGGCTGTATAGTATTCTCTTTTTATTTATGAATCGGCTACTGTCATATTAAAATAATTGAGTGAAAAAACTGTCATATATGTTCCCAGCATTCACAGGAAGGCATCACCTGTGAATGATTTGACTTAATACATTTTATGATGATAGAAAATCTATAAAAAAAAACACAGTAATGAAATAATTCTCTATGTTGGCTTGCTTACTAATTCAGAAATGTCAAGTACTGAATATGAATACCAAGTACTGAATATGAATACCACAATCGATTTGATAATGGTCCAGTCAGACTGAAACGTCATCGTCATATCATCTTCTAGTGTGTGGTTTGGTCAACATGAATACCAAGGGCCGATATAACGTAAACAATTGTGAGATTGTATATTTTATATGTACTGTGCTGTAATACTTGGTGGTTTTGAACTTTTAAATATACTGTAAATAGAAGACCTCCGCGGGCAATCATAGTGGAACACGTGTTGATAAAATTCTGTACAGTACATTGAGAAGTATATTAGTCAAATGTGTGAACACCGAGAAGCTGGACAATACCCTCAACTATATATATCCAACACTATATTGGAGATGGCAAGGCTTTGCTTTCTCCTCTGTTCTCATTTTGTTCTCACTAGACATCAAGACGGTTCTTGTACTCCCTATGCTCTTCCCCGTATCTTGTCTTGCAATCGACGTCATGCCCCACCATTTATGAACTAGTGATAATGTCATTTCTCTTCTATCAACATGTTCCTTGCAAGAAGTAGACCTCAGCTCACCACAATCACCCAAGGAAAATTGAAATTCAGAGCAATGTTGCTAGTAATTAAAATTAATTAATTAGTAGTTGGCTTAAATCAGTAATTGAGTACTTAGTAACTGAGTATAAATTAGTAGTTGAGTACAAATTCATAATTGAGTACTTGTGATTTGTTTGTGTATGGAACATGAAGGATTTACTAGTATTTTATGTTTAATTTTAATTGATTTAATTTTTGTTTCATACTATAGGTTCATTTCTATACAGAATTACTAGTTTCCAGCAGTGTTTTTGTAATGTTAGCAATGAGGAAAGTAGCACAATTATACCTTATCTAGATGAATCTACTATATTTTCTCTAATGTAGTGTAGTGAGAAAGCAGATTTCTCAATAGTTCTGGTGAGTTCAGCAGTAGAGGGCATTAGAATTCTAAACAGGGACATTAGTATTGCTATTTTTTGTAATAATTTGCAGTAAATTTAGAATCTGGAGTCAAGAATTTGATTCTTAGCACAAATGCTGCCATTTGTTATCAAGTGATATAACATTCCCTCGTACTAAAATCTTTTAGTGTTTTAAATATTATTTTGCTTTTCGGCTTAACCTTGCTATACAACTCCTTGAGATTACAAGCAAAATGCTGTCACTGTAGCTGTGTCTTTTAGGCTGTCTGTTAACCTTTTAATGATGCTTCTTATTCTTAAATCATACATAAACACCACTTGTATCTCTTCTTTCAAAATATCTGATTGGTGTATGTGTTTGTGTATTGGCAAGTAAACTGCAGAAATTATATACGGGTTATGTTAGAAAGATTTGACATGACCACTGTCTCCACCACCGTTCCTGCGCACATGGGGTGGAGATACTCTCCCGGAAAGAATGGAATATACACAAATAGTGGGAAAGAAGGACCTCCGATATTCAGTGAGATGCCAGTTCTTTTGTGATACAAACTTGATTATGTGTAATATACTGGGTAATATAATTATATATCAAGAGTAAATAAAACTTTGGGTTTTATTCACCTGTATTCACCTGACTACCATATCTAGTGGCCGTGGTGGAGGAGAAGAACCTGTGGCATGTGAAATCTTCCCATTTCTTAGGGTGAGTTTTGCAACTGTATTTTAAAGATGATAGCCTCTTGATGTCTTTGGAAGTCAGACTTTTCTCAGGTTAATAGCTCTTGGCGAAGAAGTAATTTATTTTCATTGGGTAAAGACAACCTAACAAGCTTAAAACTTTAATACTGTTTTTGTAACATTAAGTATCTTAAAATGCTGTAACACTCCATTTGCCACTGTGCATGTAGCAGTAATTAAGAACCTGAATGTAAAATGATTGGCAGATCATGTTCTGGGGAAAATTTGGCACTGTCCTACCCAGCTCCAGTCCTTGGACTGAGGACAAATTTTCAATATGCTATGTCTGTAGGTCATTGGTCAATGCAACCACTTCACAATTAAATGCTGCCAGGTTCGATTCCTGTACTGGAAGGAGATGTTTGGGCATAATTTATTACTTTTCACTTGATGCCTCTATTTACTTAGCAGTAAAAAAGTACTTGGGAGCTAAACAACTGTTGTGGAGTGCTATCTTGAGATGATTTCGGGGCTTTAGTGTCCCCGCGGCCCGGTCCTCGACCAGGCCTCCACCCCCAGGAAGCAGTCCGTGACAGCTGACTAACACCCAGGTACCTATTTTACTGCTAGGCAACAGGGGCATAGGGTGAAAGAAACTCTGCCCATTGTTTCTCGCCGGCGCCTGGGATCGAACCCAGGACCACAGGATCACAAGTCCAGTGTGCTGTTCGCTCGGCCGACCGGCTCCCTTGAGCTGGTCGGTCGCCTGCTAGTGACAATTGCTGGCCAAGGGTGGCCTTGATAAGACTAACAGGCTTTCTGCGCCTGACAACAGAAACATTAATTATATATGCCTGAAACGCTGTGCGTACTAGTGGCTTTAGGCATAGTATGTACTAGCTCTATCTAGAAATCCAATATTCTGTTTGTAACTCATTTTTAATGCATGTACTTTAATCTGAATAAACATTTAATATATTATTATTATTATATTATTATTATTATTACTATAATAATAATAATATGTGGAACTATAAGATCATGAAGAAAAATGAAACAAGAATTACTCAAATGCTTTCATGTATATTTCAACACATCTTCAGAAGTTGTTGACTAGACCACACACTAGAAGGTGAAGGGACGACGACGTTTCGGTCCGTCCTGGACCATTCTCAAGTCGAATGTCTCGAGTAGTAATAACATCTTCAGAAATTATTGCTGCACATCTGAAAATGTGTTGAAATATACTGTCAACAAAAGCACTCGAGTAATTCTTATTTCATTTTCATGTGTGGGCGACATTTTCACATTATTTATAATGTGTTAATTTCTTCATGATGAATAATTTTCTAATCATCATACTCATTGGTTGAAATCTTAGAACTTGAATGACTTTTAGTAAAGCTAATAGAGCATTATGATTGGTTGATACCTGGTTGTCTTGAGTCTAATTAATTTTGTAATTAAATAATAGGGTAATTCATTATTCAACTAAATATTTGTACTTGATTAAGGTACCACACGTTTATTGTTTTGCACTTCTTCATTTAGAATTATTTTTAGGTTCTTGGACTATTTGTAAAGTTTATGCAGATCATTTTCCGTGAAAGTCTCCTGTTTGTTGCCTAACATAACATAAACATTCATAGTATCCACAAATTTCAGGATGTTTGAGATGTTTGTTAATGTTTATAAGATGTTTATAAGTTATGTGATGTTGAGATGTCTGTTATCAATGTTTCTTGAACATAAGTCAAATGTTTCACCTTTTAAATAGTATGTTCATGATCCATTATAAGATATAGTGGATGTATATATCACATTGTATAATATACTGGTGTATTTTAAATTCTTAAATGCATGGAACTTGATATGACCAATCAGGAGTTAATTTAAAAGCTCCTTGAAAGAGATGAATGTCGTCTATGCCTTCACATGTTCACTTGGGGGACTGTAAGTTCCAGTGATTTCAAAATATAGGCAAGACACCATTATCTCCTTCAAGGTGCCTGACAATGAACAAACAATCCAACCACATGAACATGTAAACCAACCCAACCACATGAACCTGTAAACCAACCCAACCACATGAACCTGTAAACCAACCCAACCACATGAACCTGTAAACCAACCCAACCACATGAACCTGTAAACCAACCCAACCACATGAACATGTAAACCAACCCAACCACATGAACCTGTAAACCAACCCAACCACATGAACCTGTAAACCAACCCAACCACATGAACCTGTAAACCAACCCAACCACATGAACCTGTAAACCAACCCAACCACATGAACCTGTAAACCAACCCAACCACATGAACCTGTAAACCAACCCAACCACATGAACCTGTAAACCAACCCAACCACATGAACATGTAAACCAACCCAACCACATGAACATGTAAACCAACCCAAACAATATGTAATTGCTTCACACAAACAGATCATAGAACATAAGAACATAAGAACAAAGGTAACTGCAGAAGGCCTATTGGCCCATACGAGGCAGCTCCTATTCTATAACCACCCAATCCCACTCATATACTTGTCCAACCCGTGCTTGAAACAATCGAGGGACCCCACCTCCACAATGTTACGCGGCAATTGGTTCCACAAATCAACAACCCTGTTACTGAACCAGTATTTACCCAAGTCTTTCCTAAATCTAAACTTATCCAATTTATATCCATTGTTTCGTGTTCTGTCCTGTGTTGATACTTTTAATACCCTATTAATATCCCCCCGGTTATGTCCATTCATCCACTTGTAAACCTCTATCATGTCACCCCTAACTCTTCGCCTTTCCAGTGAATGCAACTTAAGCTTTGTTAATCTTTCTTCATATGAAAGATTTCTAATTTGGGGAATTAACTTAGTCATCCTACGCTGGACACGTTCAAGTGAACCTACATCCATTCCACAATATGGCGACCAAAACCGAACTGCACAATCCAAATGGGGCCCAACCAGAGCAAGATACAGCTCGAGAACCACACCAGGTGTCTTGTCACCAACGCTGCGACTAATAAATCCAAGTGTCCGACTTGCCTTATTACGAACATTCATGCATTGATCCTTTTGTCCCAAATTCCCACCAATCACAACTCCCAGACCCCTTCCGCAATCCGACCTCGCAACCACAACACCATCCAGCTCGCATCTTGCAACTCTATCATCACTACCCAACCTCAGAACCCTACATTTATCAGCATTAAACTGCATCTGCCAATCCTTTGACCATTTCAAAACCCCATCCAGACCAACTTGAAGTGATAGTGAGTCCTCCTCCGAATTAATCTCCCTACCGATCCTCGCATCATCGGCAAACTTGCAAATGTTGCTACTCAAACCTGAATCCAAATCACCTACATATATTACAAACAACAGAGGTCCCAGGACAGAGCCCCGAGGCACTCCACTTACAACACCTTCCCACTCTGACTTGACACCACCCATACCAACTCTCTGTTTCCCTTGGCACAGCCACGCCCCAATCCAGCTCAATATAGCACCCCCAATACCATGAGACTCCATCCCTCCAACCAGTCCCTCATGTGGCACTGCATCAAAAGCCTTGCCAAAGCCAAGGCACACAACATCGCAATCCCCACCACCATCAACCGCCTCAACAACGCTAGAACAAAAAGACAACAAATTTGTCAAACATGAACGGCCATTCACAAAACCATGTTGCGACTCAATTACCAATTTATGTTTTTCAAGATGAAGACGAATTCCATTTGCTATCATAGATTCGAGCAACTTTCCCACAATAGACGCTAGGCCAACTGGTCGATAGCCAGACGCAAGTGATCCAATCATCAGAAACATCATGATCATCATCAGAAACATCCCGACCAACACCACCAAAATAATCGACAGATGACTTTAAAACTCCAAATATGTGCAATCACCTTGAATTCCGATAAAAAAAAAATGCTCCAGAGTCGTGTTTGCGATAGGCATCGTATTTTGAAAACTGCAGGAGGATTTGGGCAAAATCTCACCAATAGCAGTTTTCACTAATTTGCATATTTTTGTTATAAAAATTTGTAATTTAAATTCCAAATACTGTATGTGCAATTGCCCTGAATTCTGCTAAAAAGTAACGCACAATAGTTATTTTTCAATAAGCGTCGTATTTTGAAAACTGAAGGGCAATTTGGGCAAAATCAATCTCCGTTTTCACTAATTTGCACATTTTCAGTATACAAGTCGTAATTTAAAACTCAAAATATGTGCAATCATAATGAATTCCACTCAAAAATAACGTCCATGAGTTTGTTGTTTGAGAAAAAATAACGTTTGAGATATTTTGAAAAATGTGGGTCAATTTGGGCAAAATCTCGCCCATCACCATTTGCACACATATTTTTGTTATAAAAAGGCGTAATTTAAAACTTCAAAAATGTGCAGTCACCATGAATTCCGCTTAAAGAATAACGATCAAGAGTCATATTTACAATAGGCATTGTATTTTGAAAACTGCATGGGGATTCGGGCAAAATCTCACCCATTGTCGTTTCCACTAATTTGCATATTTTCGTTATAAAAGGTTTGTAATTTAAAACTTCAAGCCTTTATAAGAACATAAGGAAGGAAACTCTGTGCTTCCCTCCCACCCCCCCCTAGCACTTCACCCACGTCTTCCCTCCCCCCCCCCCACCCTCTCCCCTCGACACGCACTGATTCCCCCTTCCCCAAACTCCTCATGTTTCTCCTGCCCCCCACTGCCTCTTCTTCCCTCCAATCACTTCTCTCCCTTCATCTTGCATCTTCACTGTATATATTACCTTCATCATCATAACCATCCTCACAACTCACCATCTTCATCACTGTAACCATCTTCCCTACTCAAGGTAAATGGTGGGAATAACTTCAACACACTGTGCAAAACACATCTGCGATTTAATTTCCGACTTGATGAAAATCGCACCGGGGGAAAGGGGAGGTGGCAATAGTAGGTTGGAGGTCTTTATTATTAAAGTATGGCACTGGAGCAAACCCTGACTGGCCTATATCTGTCCCATACCTACAACCATTCCCCTTGCAAAGTTGGGTAAGGCTAGCCCCAAGTGTCTTAACCTCTCTAGATACTGCAATTTAAAATAGGTTTTCTTAACCAGTCTTCATAAGGAATGTTTTGATTTCCTTGGATTAATTTTTGTCATCCTTTCATGTAAATGTAAATGGGGTCTAACGAAGGCAAAATTATGTCGTAGAACATTAGATGTATTAGATGTAACATTAGATGTAGCATTAGATGTGTGATTACTAATGCTGCTTGATATGAATCCCAGAATCCTATTTACCTTGTTTTGAACATTTATTATATATTTAAGTTTGGGTGGTGCATTTCCAGCACCCTCATACCTGTCCATACCTGCCATCTCAGCATGACACACCTGCCTATACCTGCCATCCCAGCACCTCACATATACAAGGCCCAACATCACACCATCATCCAGGCCCAATATTACATCGTTTCTCGGTTCCAATATTATAACATCTCCTAGGCCCAAACTTCACAACATTTCCCAGGCCCAACATCACATCATCCTGCAGGTCTGACCTGACATCATCTCCCAGGATGGGGGTATGTATCGTCCCACAACAGGATGGAGTATAGACCTGGGGTCTTGGGTGCCCCAGATTCGAGCCATTCCCCCTGGCGCGCCTCTATGGGTATGGTTTCTCACGGATATATCACATTATTGTAATTTCCTTGTGTACACATAATTATTATTATCAATTTGTAAGTGGAATTTAGCAGTAAAATGGTCACGAATATCATGGAAGAAACCTAGATCAATAAATATATCCTGACTTCAAAATAGTTACTGGATATGATGTATATACGTAGCCAGATGGAACGATGTATATATCTATCCAGATGGAACGATGTATGTACCTAGCCAGATGAAACAATGTATATATCTAGCTAGATGGAACTGTGTATACCTAGCCAGATGGAACTGTGTTAACCTAGCCAGATGGAACTGTAAATACCTAGCCAGATGGAACTGTGTTAACCTAGCCAGATGGAACTGTGTTAACCTAGCCAGATGGAACAATGTAAATACCTAGCTAGATGGAACTCCGTAAACAGATGAGACTCGTGTTATCCCCCCAATATTACTGCTCTTCAAAAGCTGAAAGGTGAAAATAAATGATAGTTGCAGCCCCTTTATTTTCACTCTATTGAAGATAGGCGTCTAAAATGCTCTATACTGTCTCTTTCTGTCGTTCTTTCCAAAGTTGTAGCAACACTTTTCTGTCAGTTTGACAGAATTAAAACTATTAAAGTCCCTGCTAGTTATATTTATCACGGCATAGGTACAAAATTCTCAACTTCATGTTCACTTTCTCACTAATAATCTAAGATCCTCTGCCTTTTAGTTTGTATACAAGACTTATACAGCTGTATACATATATACAGCTGTATACATTGTACAGCTGCTGGTGTAATGTTGACAAGACAGGTGTTTCTCCTCCACTATCTGGACCAATAGAGACTCTTGGAAGCCTCTTGTTGAATCACTTGATATAAAAAAATTATTGATATGTATATGTATTTGTGTAAAGCTCAAGGAACTATGTGTGCCTATTATATGTGCCTCTAACCCCTTTTCACCCCCCCCCCGCCCACACATGGGGTGGGTATGGGTTGCATAATAAAGAAAGACATTGAAATTGAATGGACCAATTCTTCAGAACTTTATATATGAACAGAACACGAGTGTAGTGGGATAATATCTTCAGATATTAAGTAGTCTTAATAGCTTAAGATTGTTGATAAGTCAACTATTCATCTGCGTGTGACGTTGCAAGGAAGAGCAAAGATGCAAGATAACAGGTTATCGAGTACTTGGTGTTAAATGAGTGGTTATCTTGCCTGTGGGGAGGGGGGGGGTACCCACCCCTCCACTAGTACCCAGGGGGGGGGGTACCCACCCCTCCACTAGTACCCAGGGGGGAGGGTACCCACCCCTCCACTAGTACCCAGGGGGGGGTACCCACCCCTCCACTAGTACCCAGGGGGGGGGTACCCACCCCTCCACTAGTACCCAGGGGGGGGGGGGGTACCCACCCAAAACGCGCCATGTGTGTGTCACACGTTCTATCACTGTAATTTAATGATAGACGGGATTACACAAAAGTTAGCATCATTCCTCTGTATACTATATGAGGCTTACCGGATTGATTTAGGTGTGTTTACGGACAGGAATTAAGCGAATGAACCAGGACTCGATTATAGATTTGGAACACAGCTGTTGAAAGGACTTTTCAAACGAACCAAAAGTAGACTATTGCGTGTTGTATAGCTCAAACTTTGAGCTTACACGCGATTCGAGACGGTGGATGACGGTATGTTCTTATCAGACGATACTTAGTCACTTCCCCCCTATATATAAACTACCCGTTACCGAGCTCTTAAGACCAGTTACAGCCCCGCTCCTGTGCCGGGTAAGTCCACTACGGGCTCACCATAGCCCGTGCTACTTGCCCCGCTCCTGTGCCGGGTAAGTCCACTACGGGCTCACCATAGCCCGTGCTACTTGGAATTTGTAGTTCCCAGTAGCTGAATATAGAACACAACCACTGAGCCGAACTGCACTGAACGAGTCCGTTCTCAGAACAAAGCCATTAGATCTAGGCACCAACTCCCCTCAATCAAGCCATCTAGATAGTTATCTAGATATTTGTGATGGTCTGAAACCATATTACGGGTTTCTATATCTCTTTTTTTTTAATCTTTTCCCTCTGGGAAGACTCGGCTACATATGACACTGCCTATAGTGATGGCACCGCGTAAAGATAATATGGAAATAATATTCATTAGTGTGAAGTTCTGAACACAAAACTCATGAGAATCATTTTTGCATAGGTTACTAATCTAATAAACAGTGACTGGTTATATACTGGAAATGGTACGGTCCAGGAGGACCCGTAACCGAGTGATGAAGACGGGTGCAGATGGACAGGGCGTGATTGACAGGCGGGACAGGAGCGACCGCATGGTGGCTACCGTCAGTGACAGTAGTCAGGAAGAGACAGTGAGGGAACGAGCCCCGGTGACCCCAGGAGAGGGTCGGGTCACCCCTGGACACAACCCACAAGGACGGACGACCAGGGTGGAGAAGATACAGCAGGTGGCAGGTGGTGCAGGGGACGTCAACACATCGCAGGTGGTGGCAGGTGGTGCTGGGGACGTCAACACATCGCAGGTGGTGACCTTCCTGGTGGTCATCCACCTGGTCATTGTCGTCCCTCTGGCACTTCACTACATCCCGTCTGGACGCAACGGCATCTTCTATTATTACTACAACAGGTATTTAGAACTCTCATCTCCCCCATACCCCTCTCAGGTGTTCTATTTCTCACAGGTGTTTCTCAGTTCTCTCAGAGGTGCTATTTCAGATAACTTTCCCAGTTCATGTGTTCTTTCAATGTGTTCTTTCATATTTGCTCCTTGTTTCTGATACATTTGGGGCCAGATTCACGAAAGCAGTTACGCAAGCACTTACGAACCTGGGGCCAGATTCACGAAAGCAGTTACGCAAGCACTTACGAACGTGTACATCTTTCCTCAATCTTTGACGGCTTTGGTTACATTTATTAAACAGTTTACAAGCATGAAAACTTGCCAATCAACTGTTGTTATTGTTATAAACAGCCTCCTGGTGCTTCGGAGCTCATTAACTGTTTAATAATTGGAAACAAAGCCGCCAAAGATTGAGAAAAGATGTACACGTTCGTAAGTGCTTGCGTAAGTGCTTTCGTGAATCTGGCCCCTGTTGACCTTTTGAAGAAGTCTGCATCAATATCCTCTAAATGGTTCAGTATTTTAAGTTTCGAACAGTTGAGCCCTGTTGTGTCTGATTTACAGTGTTTCTAGCCCTGTGGCCTTCAGCCTGTCCTGGTAAGAGCTTTGTAAGACTTAGCTTTGGAGTGATTTTTATTGCCCGATGTTGCACTTTCTCAAGAGCAGCTGTGTCTGTCTGAAGATGAGGGGCCAGATTCACGAAAGCACTTACGAACCTGTACATCTTTTCTCAATCTTTGGCGGCTTTGTTTACAATTATTAAACAGTTAATGAGCTCCGAAGCACCAGGAGGCTGTTTATAACAATAACAACAGTTAAATGGCAAGTTTTCATGCTTGTAAACTGTTTAATAAATGTAACCAAAGCCGTCAAAGATTGAGGAAAGATGTACACGTTCGTAAGTGCGTAAGTCCTTTCGTGAATCTGGCCCGAGGTCTCCATGCTTGGATACAAGTGGAAGCCCACAGAGTGTCCCAATGATAATTAATTACCTTAATTATCATGATAATTACCTTAGTGCTCGTGATAAGAAACTTAAGTTCTCATGGTAAGTACCTTAATACCGTATAAGATTGTTTGATAGCCTACATCCATTTTTTTTTATAAGAAGGTACTTTGGGTACGTCTCCCCGCCTGAGATATCACTGTCTAAGATTGCTTGACTACGAAACCTCAGCCAATATTGCCAGTAATTTAAAAAATATATATAACAAAAATACGTAATGCATTGGAACTCGACAAGCGAGTCACTGTGTCAAGCGCGCAGTACGGACCTAATTATATTATTCTCTGAAGATAAGATTATTGCAAGAGGCGACTAAGATAAGACTGAGGGCATCAGTCACGATAATATTTGCTCACGTTATTTTATATCTGATTGATTTGATTGACGAAATCTTGTCATTTGTCCAGTATAGAGGAGGATCTTAACTTGTCTTAGAAGAAGAGGGAATCGAATTCTTGTTGAACTAGAGTTGCTACATATACCCTCACCCCCTCTTATCTTTATCTCTTCCCCCCTTTCTACCCTCTTATCACCCCCTGTCTCGCTTTCTATCCATATCTCCTCCCCTCCCCCTCCCTCCATTTTTTGTACCGGAGGTACTTATGATCTTGAAGAGGCTGCAAGCTGTTATCCCACATCACCTCATCTGAAGCTGTTATCCCACATCACCTCATCTGAAGCTGTTATCCCACATCACCTCATCTGAAGCTGTTATCCCACATCACCTCATCTGAAGCTGTTATCCCACATCACCTCATCTGAAGCTGTTATCCCACATCACCTCATCTGAAGCTGTTATCCCACATCACCTCATCTGAAGCTGTTATCCCACATCACCTCATCTGAAGCTGTTATCCCACATCACCTCATCTGAAGCTGTTATCCCACATCACCTCATCTGAAGCTGTTATCCCACATCACCTCATCTGAAGCTGTTATCCCACATCACCTCATCTGAAGCTGTTATCCCACATCACCTCATCTGAAGCTGTTATCCCTCATCACCTCATCTGAGGCCTGACCTTTGGAACTCCATCATTTTAACGAGCATTACCAGAGGTAAAGCTTCTGTACTCGCCTAGTTGTGTTTGCGGGGGTTGAGCTCTGGCTCTTTGGTCCTGCCTCTCAACCGTCAATCAACAGGTGTACAGGTTCCTGAGCCTATTGGGCTCTATCATATCTACACTTGAAACTGTGTATGGAGTCAGCCTCCACCACATCACTTCCTAATGCATTCCATTTGTCAACCACTCTGACACTAAAAAAAGTTCTTTCTAATATCTCTGTGGCTCTGTGGTGTACTTATACGTGTGCAGGAGATCCGGTTTGTGATTGGTGAACGCGTTTGCTTGGCTAATCACATCACGCTACAGAAAGCCATTCCAATCTACAGAAAGATCTACATACACAAATCTACAGAAAGGCATTCCAAGTAAGGACCTGCCCGAAACGCTGCGCGTACTAGTGGCTTTACAAGATTGTAAATACTATGCTATGTATTCTCACAAACCCAATGTACCTTCTTGTATATAAATAAATAAAATAATCAGTTGCTTGACCAGACCACACACTAGAAATTGAAGGGACGACGACGTTTCGGTCCGTCCTGGACCATAGGAAGTCAACATACTTCAGCCACGTTATTGTGACTCATCGCCTGCTAATCAGGTGCTTCTGTGTAGACGATTCATGAAAGCGTCATATCTTTAGCCACGTTATTGTGACTCATCGTCTGCATATGGATGCCACAGGTAAGTATCTTGATATTTCTTCAAGCGTCTTATTCTGTTTCTTCCATTCTCTACCTTCTTACAACAACCTTTTCGCGCCTTCGAGTCGTCCCTTGTTCCCGCTATTCTTATTCTTATCTTCATCCTGTTCTTACCTTTCTGCTAACAGTCCGTCCTACTAAGGTGTCCCAGCGTCAAGAAAACGGTCAATTTAAAGTGGTCTCCCCTAACTTGCCAGAGGACCCAAAACAGAAAACGGGACAGTATGTCACTTTCGCTAGCCACTTCCATTTTCTAGTACGACGATTTTTGGTTTTATGTAACACATACGTGCGAAAAGCGACGTGCTTTGTAGGAGAACAGGTTGTAGGAGAACAGGTTGTAGGAGGACAGGCTGTAGGAGAACAGGTTGTAGGAGGACAGGCTGTAGGAGGACAGGTTGCTGCTAACACGTCTTGTCTCGATTATTAGTGTTTTAGGTTGACCCTTGTACATGTACAGTAGTGCTTATTGATTGTCAGTTGTTATAGATGTAGAGGACCGCGGTACCAAGCAGGTCAGAGCTGCTGTGCCAGATTCACGAAGCAGTTACGCAAGTACTTACGAACGTGTACATCTTTTCCTCAATCTTTGACGACTTTGTTTACATTTATTAAACAGTTTACAAGCATGAAAACTTGCCAATCAACTGTTGTTATTGTTATAAACAGCCTCCTGGTGCTTCCGAGCTCATTAACTGTTTAATAATTGTAAACAAAGCCGCCAAAGATTGAGAAAAGATATACAGGTTCGTAAGTGCTTACGTAACTGCTTCGTGAATCTGGCCCCAGGTTCGTAAGTGCTGGCGTAACTACTTCGTGAATCTGGCCCCACGGTTGACCCCTATGGCTCTTGACTTAAAACTATCAACCAGGTGTATTTCCTGTGTCAGCGGGTAATGCGTCTCTCCTCTCCTTGTGTCTTGAACCCCTCAGACAACCGCCGGTCCAGCCATGACATGAAGGTCAACAGGCTATTAAGGTGTCTAATTATGGCTCGATAATTGATTACCTTACTATCTCCTTGCGAAGGCAAACCATCGTGGAATGTGAGGCTTTTGGGGACTTTAAAAGTGTCGGCATGTTAAGCCGGTCGGCCGAGCGGACAGCACGCTGGACTTGTGATCCTGTGGTCCTGGGTTCGATCCCGGGCGCCGGCGAGAAACAATGGGCAGAGTTTCTTTCACCCTATGCCCCCTGTTACCTAGCAGTAAAATAGGTACCTGGGTGTTAGTCAGCTGTCACGGGCTGCTTCCTGGGGATGGAGGCCTGGTCGAAGACCGGGCCGCGGGGACACTAAAAAGCCCCGAAATCATCTCTAGATAACCTTCTCAAGATAACGTTATCAGCATTGTGCTGTCAGTAATTGAGGACAAATTGGGGGAGAGGGGGGGGAGCTTTGACAATCCGCTGGCTTGCTGTCCTCGTCGAAGCCACTAGATAGTGGGCCTCTTAGGTAAATGTGCAAGGACTCTTAATAAAGGGTATTAATTAACTCTAAAATAGAGTTGCTACCACGTCTTGGAATGTGGAAAGGGAATATTTTAGGGAAATTACGAAAGTTGTGCATTTTAAACATACATTTTTTCCCCTCACGTGACAATATGTCTTGGTTAGTTTTCTGCTAATTGTTCGTAGACATCTCCCGTCACGCAGGGTGCAGTCGCACCTCCACAGATCTCCAGTATCATCTCTTGATACTGGTAATGGCTCAAAAGGGCCACCACTTACGGGCTATTCATGCCCGTGCCACCTTTTGGCTGGCTTAATCTTCATCAATCAATCTGCTAAGGGGCCCACAATCGACTTGAGAATGGTCCAGGACGGACCGAAACGTCGTCGTCCCTTCACCTTCTAGTGTGTGGTCTGGTCAACATTCTGTTAAGGGCCCTATATCAAGTCTTTTTAGTTTTACTTCGTATATAGACTTTATAAAGACTTTGGATCTTCCTTTATGTTTTGAGCAAGTTTTCTTTCGTATGAACAAATCCACAAGGGCCGTGACGAGGATTCGAACCTACGTCCGAGAGGATCCCAGACGCTGCCTTAATCGACTGAGCTACGACAGGGTCAACGACAGTGTTCTTCTTTCGTAGTTTCTTTTGGCTGATCTGGGTCCAGATTCGCGAAGCAGTTACGCAAACACTTACGAACCTGTACATCTTTTCTCAATCTTTGGCGGCTTTGTTTACAATTATTAAACAGTTAATGAGCTCCGAAGCACCAGGAGGCTGTTTATAACAATAACAACAGTTGATTGGCAAGTTTTCATGCTTGTAAACTGTTTAATAAATGTAACCAAAGTCGTCAAAGATTGAGGAAAGATGTACACGTTCGTAAGTGCTTGCGTAACTGCTTCGTGAATCTGGCCCCTGATTTCCTGGGTGGTTGGGTTTAAGGCTCTTGTGCATATCTCATAATCTATATTATTTTTCTTTGAGGACTGATAACTGCTCCAGAGGTTGATCTTAATTATTGTAGCTCTTTTTACTATCTGTCATCCATCTAGTTTTCTTTCTTTTCATTCTCTTTCTCGGTACGTTTTTTTTAACAAGTTCAGGTATAACATTTTTTTTAAGTTTTTCTATGATATTTCCATGCCTTGAACTACCGGGGTTGTCTAAAATTTTTAAATGGCTAATGTATTTGTCCTTCTGCAATGTATTCTGTGAAAATATGAACTGACAGACGAGGAGTCACAATAACGTGGCTGAAGTATGTTGACCAGACCACACACTAGAAGGTGAAGGGACGACGACGTTTCGGTCCGTCTTGGACCATTCTCAAGTCGATTGTGAATGGTCCAGGACGGAGCGAAACGTCGTCGTCCCTTCAACTTCTAGCGTGTGGTCTGGTCAGCATACTTTAGCCACGTTATTGTGACTCCTCGCCTGCACTGTGGTTGGTTTAGTAAGTTGTGATGTTAATGAGTTATGATTTATGTGGTACAGGACGGAGGGCGAGAGCTACGCCCTGTGGCCGCAGGAGGCGGAGATGGGACGGCTGCCCATCACGGCCGCCACCCACGCTATCTTTATCATCCACGGCTTCAGCGAGTCCTCCCACAGACCCTGGATAAAGAGACTCACCCACGGTAGGCCTCGAGCGATACCCTGTACTGGGAGGCGGGGGCCAAGAGCTACATATTCACTGTTGACCAGACCACACACTAGAAGGCGAAGGGACGACGACGTTTCGGTCCTTCCTGGACCATTCTCAAGTCGATTGTGAGAATGGTCCAGGACGGACCGAAACGTCGTCGTCCCTTCACCTTCTAGTGTGTGGTCTGGTCAACATACTTCAGCCACGTTATTGTGACTCCTCGTCTGCTGATATTCACTGATTGCCGTGCACCAAAACAAACATATTTTTCAGTCCGTTCTTGCGAGCGTTCCCAACGTCAGCGTCAACGAACGTTCCCAATGATTAATATAAGTATAGTGAAGACAGGAAGACCGTCATAGGGCGAGAATTTGTGGAAGACAGTCAGAAAATACCCGGGTGTCTTTATTTCTCGGGGTTCTTTATAGAATCCCGGTAGTACAGTCGGGATCGTTCGATTCATAATTGAGAATTCGGGCTCGAATCCCGGCCGGGACAGAAATAGTCGGGCATCTTTCCTATCACCTAATGCCCCTATCCACCTAGCAGTGAATAGGTACTTGGGAGTTAGTCAGCTTCTTGTGGGGTTGCATCTTGGAGGTCAATAATTCAACTTTGTGAGGGAAACCTTAGTATAAGCCTAATATGTATGAATACACACTGGCTGTCTGTCCCCCGACACAATGATTAATTATTGACTTATAAGGTCAGGTATATTATAAAAAAAAAAGTTTTTTTCCCACACCTTGCCCGAAACGCTGTGCGTATTAGTGGCTTTAGGTATGGCATGTATTATTTATTTATTTATTTATTTATGCATATACAAGAATGTACATAAGGAATGTGAGGATACAATTATGGTAATTAGTCTTGTAAAGCCACTAGCACGCGCAGCGTTTCGGGCAGGTCCTTAATCTAAGAAAATTTTAAGGAGGTAAATACTTGCAAAATTTATAGACAAAAAAATGATAAATTAAAATGATATTAGCTCTATCTATAAATCGAACATGATGTATGTAAGTCATCTTCTATGTATGTACTTTTACCTAAATAAACATTTCGATTTTGATTTTGTAAAAGGTGAGGAACAGGTAAGAAAAAATCCGGATCCGAGCGCGTCTTCCCGAACGAGACTGAATCCGAGTTCGTCTTCCCGAACGCGACTCGGATTATTGGTTTGTTTTGAATGGCGGATGCGACTTTGTCTTGCGGGAAGAGGAGGAAGATGTCCCTTTTTCACCTCTGGAGCACCTTAGTGATTTTATCACCCGCTGCGGCCATGCGTTTTGCTGTTAGGTAAGGCTGAGGACTTGATATACTGCCGTATTTGGTTGGACTTGCGAGTATATAGGACTCTTGGTATAGGCGAGGAGACAGCACGCTGGACTTGTGGTCCCGGGTTCGATCCCAGGCGCCGGGGAGAAACAATGGGCAGAGTTTCTTTTACCCTATGCCCCTGTTACCTAGCAGTAAAATAGGTACCTGGGTATTAGTCAGCTGTCACGGGCTGCTTCCTGGGGGTGGAGGCCTGGTCGAGGACCGGGCCGCGGGGACACCAAAAAGCCCCTAAATCATCTCAAGATAACCCTATATCGTCTGGGGTTATCTTTCAGTACCCGGCACCTGTTATATCCTGGGGACATATATGTGGCATTGGTATAATAGGATAGGTATAATGTATAATGGATAGGTATAATGCAGGATAACATATACAAAATTGTGATGTCAGGACATTGTTTTCAAGTATTCAGTACGGCAGCATCATAAATGCATTGTCCTTCCTTAGCTTAGGTGAATGACAAATATATGTCTTCAGGGAAACTACTTATTCCTTCACATAGTCCGCACCTTTTTTTTGTATGTGTGTGTGTACACCATAATAATAATAATACTAATAATTCACAATTCATTGTGTCGGGGGACAGGAAGCCAGAGTGTATTCATACACATCTGGCTTTTATCAAGATCCCCCGCCAAGGCCAATTTCATGAAATTGCTTCAAATCATCGTCGACTTCCTATGCCATCGCTTGCCAATATATTTTAGTCTAATTTCGTTATAAAACGAGATTATTTCCTTGTAAAAAAAAAAAAGAAGAAAGTTTTTCATGTTCTACATTGAACACCAATATTATAGTGGGTAAATATACCACATTTCATTACTTTAATAATGCTAGTAGGCTCTGCATAGCTTAGGGAGGCATTGGGGTAATTCTATGGATTGGTTTTTCATTCATAAACAGGGGTGGTTTGGCAGGTGGATTAACAAGATGTTTCCTAGTGTTTGAGGAGCAGTAATGAGTGGGTTATATTTATTTATTTTATTTATGCATATACAAGAATGTACATAAGGAATGTGAGGATACAATTATGGTAATTACAGTCTTGTAAAGCCACTAGCACGCGCAGCGTTTCGGGCAGATTTTGTCACCCGCGGGCAGAATATAGTGACAAGTGTTATATTGACAGCACTGCTGGCAGCGAGAGTGGAGGAGGAGCGAGTGGTGGTGGTGGTAGACTACTGGGACTTCCACAGCCTAATCTACCCCCGCGTGAGGAAGAACGCCAGCAAGGTGGCGTCGCTAGTCGCTCAACTCATCGACACTCTTGTCATTCACAACAACCTACAGTGAGTCACAGTTCCTTCCGTTTCTCTCGTGTTAATTATATAAACTGTATCTCGACCCATAGTTCTAAAGTCTCGCTTGTTCTTGGTGCTGTGGCTACTCAACTTGATATATCACTAGCTGTGTGTATCACCAAGTGTCATAAACAATATTTGTGCATCGCCAATCTTTTTGCATCATGAGCCGTGTGCATTTTTTATTTTATATTTTATTTTATCGATATATATACAAGAAGGGTACGAGTTGAGAAAGTTTACATACATTAGGGTTTGAGTGTAACATTCTTGCAAAGCAACTTTCGGGCAGATCCTTAAACTTCCCAATAAAAGTAATAATAGGTACAGTACAATATAACCGAATTTGAGTACAACGTAATAACTACATTGCAAGTTGATAGACCGCAAATTGCATCATGTGTCATATGCATCACGAGGAGGTAAACATGACGACTAATGTGAGTGTGACTGAACAAGTGAATGTGTTCCACAGGCTCGCAAAAACACACCTGATTGGTTTCAGCCTTGGAGGCCGGATTTCTGGGATGGTGGGAGACAGGATCACCACTGGCAAAGTGGCCAGGATTACAGGTAAATTTTCCAGCTTTACAGGTAAATTTTCCAGCATTATGGGTAAATTTTCCAGCATTATGGGTAAATTTTCCAGCATTATGGGTAAATTTTCCAGCTTTACGGGCAAATTTTCCAGCTTTACGGGCAAATTTTCCAGCTTTACGGGCAAATTTTCCAGCTTTACGGGCAAATTTTCCAGCTTTACGGGAAAATTTTCCAGCTTTACGGGGTAAATTTTCCAGCATTACAGGCAAATTTTCCAGCATTACGGGGTAAATTTTCCAGCTTTACGGGCAAATTTTCCAGCTTTACGGGTAAATTTTCCAGCTTTACGGGCAAATTTTCCAGCTTTATGGGAAAATTTTCCAGCTTTACGGGGTAAATTTTCCAGCATTACGGGCAAATTTTCCAGCATTACAGGGTAAATTTTCCAGCTTTACGGGCAAATTTTCCAGCTTTACGGGCAAATTTTCCAGCTTTACGGGTAAATTTTCCAGCTTTACGGGCAAATTTTCCAGCTTTATGGGTAAATTTTCCAGCTTTACGGGTAAATTTTCCAGCTTTACGGGCAAATTTTCCAGATTTGTAGGTCAAATTTTCAGCTTTGCAGGTCAAATTTTCAGCTTTACAGGTGAATTGGTGTGGTTTACAGTTAAAATGACTAGGTTCACGTGTAAAGGGCTAGTTCATAAACAGTGCAGATTTACTGATTAATTTAACCTACACCATGGTTCCCAAATCTACTTTATCTAGATTTTTCCCAAATCTAATTTATCCTACACCAGGTCCCAAATCTACATAGTAAAATAACAATGTACTGAAACATTGAACAATATGGAAGAAAATGCAGAATAGAACCAGTGAAGAGCAGAGGTGCCATAGGCACAATCAGAGAACACTGTATAAACATCAGAGGTCCCCGGTTGTTCAACGTCCTCCCAGCGAGTATAAGAAATATTGCCGGAACAACCGTGGACATCTTCAAGAGGAAACTAGATTGTTTTCTAAAAAAAAGTGCCAGACCAACCGGGCTGTGGTGGATATGTGGGCCTGCGGGCCGCTCCAAGGAACAGCCTGGTGGACCAAGCTCTCACAAGTCAAACCTGGCCTTGGGCTGGGCGTGGGGAGTAGAAGAACTCCCAGAACCCCATCAAGCAGGTATGGTGTAGGATACATGAGGGAATATCATGTAGGATATCCTGTACCACAGTAGTTCTTTTATCCTCGCAGAATACCTCCATACACCTTTCCTGTTGCTTAGTAAAGCACCTTTACTCCTATAAAAAGGCACTACTGTATCTACATGTTTTTTCCTGGCATCTGGTACAATTCTAATTCTTTAGAAATAAAAGGATCTTGGACATTGCAAACTTGTCATTTGCATTTATTTCTGGTAAAGACATTATGGGCATATTTTGCTCCCTAAACAAGTTAATTTTTTTATGGCAATATCTTCACTTTTTCTAAAGGTGATAAAATGTGCACAAGTACTATATGTAGCTGTAAAGACTTTATTGATTCACTTTTGATATAAAATTATAAATGAACATACAAACTCAACACATTGAATGTTGTCTATGGGAAATTTTGTTGAGAATCTACTCGAGAGAAATTTGATGTCAAACATATATCCACATCTGCAATTGTCTTGATTTATATTTGTGCAAATGTCTGTGGTGGATTAATTTTATCCAACATTTGTTACATGATTATTACATTTCTCATTTCTTTTCAGGTATAGATGCATCATATCCTTGGACACCACCTAAGACCAAGGACCAGTTTTTAGATGCTGGCGATGCATCTCTCGTGGTCAACATTCGAACGTCCCCTGTAGGATCGCACGCTCCTCCAAGCCACATTGATTTTTACGCTAATGGAGGACTCTCTCAGCCAGGATGCGATGACTGGTATTTCCCTTACTTAGGTTTGTTGCTTACCTTGCATTCTGGTTACTTATTCTTAATTGTTTTTCTTTTCTTTTCCTAATGGGATGTCCAGCTGTGTTTGTGTCAAATGCAAATATTCCTAATGGGATGTCCAGCTGTGTTTGTGTCAAATGCAAATATTCCTAATGGGATGTCCAGCTGTGTTTGTGTCAAATGCAAATATTCCTAATGGGATGTCCAGCTGTGTTTGTGTCAAATGCAAATATTCCTAATGGGATGTCCAGCTGTGTTTGTGTCAAATGCAAATATTCCTAATGGGATGTCCAGCTGTGTTTGTGTCAAATGCAAATATTCCTAATGGGATGTCCAGCTGTGTTTGTGTCAAATGCAAATATTCCTAATGGGATGTCCAGCTGTGTTTGTGTCAAATGCAAATATTCCTAATGGGATGTCCAGCTGTGTTTGTGTCAAATGCAAATATTCCTAATGGGATGTCCAGCTGTGTTTGTGTCAAATGCAAATATTCCTAATGGGATGTCCAGCTGTGTTTGTGTCAAATGCAAATATTCCTAATGGGATGTCCAGCTGTGTTTGTGTCAAATGCAAATATTCCTAATGGGATGTCCAGCTGTGTTTGTGTCAAATGCAAATATTCCTAATGGGATGTCCAGCTGTGTTTGTGTCAAATGCAAATATTCCTAATGGGATGTCCAGCTGTGTTTGTGTCAAATGCAAATATTCCTAATGGGATGTCCAGCTGTGTTTGTGTCAAATGCAAATATTCCTAATGGGATGTCCAGCTGTGTTTGTGTCAAATGCAAATATTCCTAATGGGATGTCCAGCTGTGTTTGTGTCAAATGCAAATATTCCTAATGGGATGTCCAGCTGTGTTTGTGTCAAATGCAAATATTCCTAATGGGATGTCCAGCTGTGTTTGTGTCAAATGCAAATATTCCTAACGGGATGTCCAGCTGTGTTTGTGTCAAATGCAAATATTCCTAATGGGATGTCCAGCTGTGTTTGTGTCAAATGCAAATATTCCTAATGGGATGTCCAGCTGTGTTTGTGTCAAATGCAAATATTCAGTTTACTTGTAGAATTTGTATTGATTTTAATCGTGAATTAGCATGTGAAATTGCAAATTGATATCCTAGTTGTGTGTAGCAGTTGTCAAAAGGGACAGGAATCTAAAATATTTGTTTCGAAAAGCCTCAAGTTAAGACTCGTGCGAGTTATTCAATAAGTTGGACGCAATAAATTTAGGAAGTGTGTACTGTATCATCTTTGAGTAGTTTTGTTAACCTGTGTATGCGACTATTGGCTACCAGTTTCTAGCCTGATATGCATCTTCATTCATACACTCTTGTAACTACACTTAGGTAATTACATCAAACTCAAGTCATAAGAACCAGGATATAATGATGACAGCTTCCAAGAAGAGTAGAGAGTTGGAATTAATCAGCTGAAAAAAAAGATAGAGCTAGAAAACAGCTTCATTATAAAAAAATAAAATATATATTGTAACCGATTTAAATGGCAACATATCCACTCTTAGTTTACACTGTGCAAGGCTAGTGGGTACACTAATACAATAATTTACACTGTGCAAGGCTAGTGGGTACACTAATACAATAATTTACACTGCAAGGCTAGCAGGTATGCTAATACAATAATTTACACTGTGCAAGGCTAGTGGGTACACTAATACAATAATTTACACTGTGCAAGGCTAGCAGGTACGCTAATACAATAATTTACACTGTGCAAGGCTAACAGGTACGCTAATACAATAATTTACACTGTGCAAGGCTAGCAGGTACGCTAATACAGTACAATAATTTACACTGTGCAAGGCTAGCAGGTACGCTAATACAGTACAATAATTTACACTGTGCAAGGCTAACAGGTACGCTAATACAATAATTTACACTGTGCAAGGCTAGCAGGTACGCTAATACAATAATTTACACTGTGCAAGGCTAGCAGGTACACTAATACAATAATTTACACTGTGCAAGGCTAACAGGTACGCTAATACAATAATTTACACTGTGCAAGGCTAGCAGGTACGCTAATACAGTACAATAATTTACACTGTGCACGGCTAGCAGGTACGCTAATACAATAATTTACACTGTGCAAGGCTAGCAGGTACGCTAATACAATAATTTACACTGTGCAAGGCTAGCAGGTACGCTAATACAGTACAATAATTTACACTGTGCAAGGCTAACAGGTACGCTAATACAATAATTTACACTGTGCAAGGCTAGCAGGTACGCTAATACAATAATTTACACTGTGCAAGGCTAGCAGGTACACTAATACAATAATTTACACTGTGCAAGGCTAACAGGTACGCTAATACAATAATTTACACTGTGCAAGGCTAACAGGTACGCTAATACAATAATTTACACTGTGCAAGGCTAGCAGGTACACTAATACAATAATTTACACTGTGCAAGGCTAACAGGTACGCTAATACAATAATTTACACTGTGCAAGGCTAGCAGGTACACTAATACAATAATTTACACTGTGCAAGGCTAACAGGTACGCTAATACAATAATTTACACTGTGCAAGGCTAGCAGGTACACTAATACAATAATTTACACTGTGCAAGGCTAGCAGGTATGCTAATACAATAATTTACACTGTGCAAGGCTAGCGGGTACACTAATACAATACACATTCTTTATAATGTACAGTATAAGAGATCCTAATAAATGACAATTAATAAATATACTGCAAACATCATCATTCATTATTTATAAAAAATACGTAATTAAATGTCTGAAAATGATCGATCCAGGTTCTTTGAAATAGCTGCCTTACACAGCACTGTAGTTTTGAGAAGTATTTTGTGTGTCAAACTGTTTCTCTAACACATTTTTCCTGTCATTGCACCATCATGGACCATAAATTATAATAGACAATACAAAAAAATATTAGATACCTTGATATGAATTAGATGTTATTTGCTCATTGTATGTAATTATTCTCCTCCAGTCCAGCAAGTCTGTAATCATTACCGCTCGGTTGCCCTTATGATAGAGGCCGTGAAGCACGCAGATGACAGGGTGTTCCCTGCTTGTGGCTGTCCTGATTGGGAGAGCTTTAAAAACCACACCTGTGACTGTCAGACTGTTAATAATTTTGGCTTGTATCCAAATACCAGGTAAGATATTAATGTAATTAATTTATATAGCCACAGGTTGTTACTCCACAATTAAAGACTGAATTCATTTCTGATAAATTTTCGTCAATGTATAAAATGGGGCAGTGGTAGCAGACTTTAGTGTGTAACACTAGTGGTACGTTACTTTGTCTGTGACTTGTTTAGCTCCATATTAGTATGTCTTGAAGGCATCAGTATTTAAATGAAGATGTCTGGGTGGTCCCAGACAAGAGGGTAGATGGTCCCATATCAAAGATGGTGTTCTTACAGGTTGGTCTGAATGAATTAGTTTACTTAATATTTATACCTGTCAACTATATTTACTGTATCAAACTGCAAATATGGTTGATAGATAGATAGATTTATGTATGTATGTAATATACTCACTCTGTACCTGTAAATCCGAAAGTCAAATGTTCAAGTCAATTAGTAATATTCCGTAAACATTAGGCTATCTTTTCCTGACATGATGTAGCCAGGGAAACTGTTAGAGACGTTGTTTATGTTTTATATTTACATTTTGTTTTACTGTCAATATTTTCATTGTGAACAGAGGCATCAACATGTGAGTACGGGATGCAAAGGTGTTTTATCTTTCCGATCACATTAGTGGTTAGGGTATTTAACATTCATGCTCACCATAATTGCTAATTAAGTTATCAACAAAATAAGTTTCTTTACATTCTCAATCGACTTGAGAATGGTCCAGGACGGACCGAAACGTCGTCGTCCCTTCACATTCTAGTGTGTGGTCTGGTCATCATACTTTAGCCACGTTATTGTGACTCCTCGCCTGCAAGTTTCTTTACACTTCTCTGGGTCATTTTACTAGGCCAAATAGTCTTTGCAATGAGACAATAAACCCAGTGTGTTCTTTGGGAATGACTCCACAACCCCAACTAAACTTTCATCATGTACACTCTTGCTGTAGGTTCATTAATATAGGCTGTCATTTGCTGGGTTTGCAAAAAGAGGTATTAACTGTAATTAGTTGTACACTTAGGGAATTGTAATTGGGTGACCAAGAATCGGCATAAGACTTCTAGGAATGTGAAATTTAGAGATAGGTTATGTGGAATTATCAGATCCATCTCATTATCTGCACATAAGTTAATGAGAATATGGAGTAAGTAAATGACTTACATAGTATACTTGCAACAAGCAAGTTGTCTGTCAGTGGAAAACTGCGGTGCATTATTCCAGATTAATACAAAGGACAGCTAGATAATGCAAACTTAATCCAGTGCCTTGAGAAAATAGGCACAGTAGCACTTGACATATGTGGACGGTACATGCCACTAAGAAAAAAAAAATACACAAAGGACACAAACTGAAATGAGAACAGCATTCCCACTATTGGCCGGTCGGCCGAGCGGCCAGCACGCTGGACTTGTGATCCTGTGGTCCTGGGTTCGATCCCAGGTGCCGGCGAGAAACAATGGGCAGAGTTTCTTTCACCCTATGCCCCTGTTACCTAGCAGTAAAATAGGTACCTGGGTGTTAGTCAGCTGTCACGGACTGCTTCCTGGGGGTGGAGGCCTGGTCGAGGACCGGGCCGCGGGAACACTAAAGCCCCGAAATCATCTCAAGATAAACTCAAGAAGATGACAAGTAACTAATTTGTCATGTAACTTATGATGAGTAACTGGGGAATAAATAGAAGAGTCACTGTGATAAAATTTTCTTTAAATATAAGATCTATGAACTTAAGTGACATTACTTGGGTCTTCAATTCAGCATTTTTATTAATACAGTCTGTATTTACTTTGCTTTCAGTGCCCTGGGTAAATTCTACTTTACTACAAATTCAAAGCCTCCATATTCAAGACCACTTTAAATAAGTCATTTTTTGTATGTATGTATATACTAAATATATTTAATTTTAAGCATCAACTGTGTTATTAAAATAATTTAGTAAACACAAAGTCTGTCAAAGAAGAATTTCAACTCTAGGAGCAGGAAACACATGCAACAAGATCATTTAAATATTTCGATAATTATTCGATACCAAGTTTTCTGGTAAGAATATTATTGAAATGTAATATGTATAGCCAGATGAGAATTCTACATTTAGTGTTACACAATGTTAGTTCTTTGTAGTGTATGTTAAACAATGGCGCTGGTAGGATGTTGTGAACTGACACACTTTCAGATCTCTCTTCCGTCTTCACCCTTGTCGGCAGGGGAGCCGGTCGGCCAAGCGGATAGCACGTTGGACTTGTGATCCTGTGGTCCCGGGTTCGATCCCAGGCGCCGGCGAGAAACAATGGGCAGAGTTTCTTTCACCCTATGCCCCTGTTACCTAGCAGTAAAATAGGTACCTGGGTGTTAGTCAGCTGTCACGGGCTGCTTCCTGGGGTTGGAGGCCTGGTCGAGGACCGGGCCGCGGGGACACTAAAGCCCCGAAATCATCTCAAGATAACTTTGTCGATGTTGAAAACTGGTGGGTCGCCTCATGGTATTTAGGCATTCGCACTATTTCCTATGTTGATCTTTCTCCCTCAACCTTTTCCCTCTATTGGCTGCCTTCAAAACAGCGACCGTTTCCTCATTCTCTTGTCTCTTTTATTTTTCTTCTTTCCATTCTCTTCTCCAGTTCTATTTTGACAAACCTTATTTGAGCCTCTTTATTGCCCCCTCTTCTACTCATTGTACATCTGGGGCCAGATTCGCGACAGCACTTACGAACCTGTACATCTTTCCTCAATCTTTGGCGGCTTTGTTTTCAATTATTAAACAGTTAATGAGCTCCGAAGCACCAGGAGGCTGTTTATAACAATACCAACAGTTGATTGGCAAGTTTTCATGCTTGTAAACTGTTTAATAAATGTAACCAAAGTTGTCAAAGATTGAGGAAAGATGTACTCGTTCGTAAGTGCTTGCGTAACTGCTTTCGTGAATCTGGCCCCTGGTCTTCCTATCACTCAGTACTTTCTTCTCTTGCGACATACTGTACTCTGCTTGATGCTACTCGTCACTCCATCCCCACATTATGCTTCACCCAGCTTGAAAAAGTGCATTTTTTGTGGAATTCTAAATATGCACGGAAATCTTTTTTTTGCTGTAAACACGCTGTCTGGAAACAGCACTGATAATTAGTGGATCTTTAATTATGTTTAAGAATGCTAGTGCAGATCCCTGCAGAGTCATTCGTCTGTAAAAGTCATAAGAGGTGATTTTGTCTCCACTATCAATGTTACCATCCTTCATATCTAGATAATGATCTACAAGAATGGTAGCAAAGTCTTAACTAATGAGCAGGCGATGAGTCACAATAACGTGGCTGAAGTATGTTGACCAGACCACACACTAGAATTTGAAGGGACGACGACGTTTCGGTCCGTCCTGGACCATTCTCATCAACTTGAGAATGGTCCAGGACGGACCGAAACGTTGTCGTCCCTTCAAATTCTAGTGTGTGGTCTGGTCAATCAACTTAACTAATGAGTGCATCCTGCATGGATATTATGTTTGCAGGAATGTACAGTGAAGCTTGAAATGTGTCCCTATGTATTGTTGCTACGTTGCCCGTGTGGAGGATCTGTCCCAGTTTGATCTGGAAAGTTAAGGTTTATATCTTTCTTCAATCATGAAGCTCCTTATCCTTGAATATTTTTGCTATCATTCATGCTTTATTTACTGAAGGGATTAATTGTGCTGATGGCGTTGTCTACTTTGTAAATTTTTCTGATCAAACGTGCAAGTGCCACTTCTCCCAGAAACTACCATTTTCACAGCTGAGTTTTATGTATTTTTGTATACTCTACATCAGCTATTCATATGTAGATGTTCATTTGTTATTGTGGTCAACTTGTAGTGCTTTCAATTATATGTTTTATAATAGAGTAGAACCATTCTCATCCGGTGATCAAAATCAAACAATCTCTCTACCTCATCTGTGCATGGGGTTCAACTACTGAAAATTACGTCAAGTCCATTGTCACCCAGCAAAAATCTGCTATCAGAGCTATAACACACTATCTTCAGACAACACACAGTCTTAACATACTCTCACTCTATACATTCTCTTGTGCTGTTTACACTTATAAAACCTTATTCCCTGCTTCTAGCATTGAATTGAAACTCTTCCTCAATAGATATAACAGAACCCATGAGCATCACACTAGAAATAAATGTATCTTTGATATTCTTAGAGACTAAATCAGGGCCAATACTCATGCAAATACAAGGATCCAGTATATAGAACTCACTCCGTAATCAATTAAAAAATTGTCCGACCTATAATTTATTTGAAAGGAAAATAAAAAAGTACCTAATTTCATCCTCATAGTTCCCACCTTGCTCTCCTAACTCACACTGTATCTTGCGCTACCCACTCACCCAATTTAGTACTTAAGACATGCAACTTCATCAGTCTAATGTATTCTAGCCATTTATAATGTAATTATTATGTTGAATTCAAATACTGTTACAATGTACCTATTACATTTATTGGTTAGTTTAAGGACCTGCCAGAAACGCTATGCGTGTTAGTGGCCTTGCTAGAATATAACACTCGATCACCATTGTATGTACTTTCTTATATATAAATAAATATTAGCCCCAATTAATGTGTGTAATGTCCTGATTTTTAGGATGATTGGAAATTTTCCTAGTCACATGTCCCTCAATATAATCCTTGGTGAATTTGACTCCTTTGACACCATTTATCTCGTGCCCTTCTCTTCTTGTATTGGCATCCTGAACGTTATCATGAAATGCGTTTTTAATATAGTCGACCCTTATATAACAGTAATTGATATAAGTTTTTCCCATAATGCAGCATGCAGTGTTTTACTGACCATTGATTTGAATTTATCGCGCACTTATTACTCACACAGCATCATGCTCAACTGTGTTCTCGAGCCAAGAAAACCCATGACTATCACACTATCACCTTCTCCATGTGTGGTCCATGTTAGCAAATATTACTACTGCCTTATCTAAATCTTGTCCATCACTCACTCTGACCAGTAAGATCCAGGGTGGAAACGTCAGTGAGGTCCAAGGTGGAGGAACCGGTGAGTTCACTGGACGGATTGGCAGCCCCACAACTCTACACACTATATCCATCCTCACCACCACAGACTCGCACATCCACCAAAACTACCACCCATCTGCCAATAGAACTGCCTACAATACTATCCACAATACCAAACCTACCCTACTCTACTACCCACTTCAGTATGCACACAAGGCCAAAGAGCCAAAGCTCAACCCCCGCAAGCACAATTAGGTGAGTACAAATCAAAATAACATAATATACCAAATGAACAAATCCACAAGGGCCTTGAGGAAGGTTCGAACCCATGTGCTGGATGTTCCCAGATGCACTCAAGTCATTTGTTCACCACCCACTCCATTCACTATCACACAACTCTGCCACATACGTTCCTTTCACACCTTCACACACTTTCACCCTGAGTAAAATACCCATGCAATGTTCAACTTTTCCATAACTGGAACTCTAACCTTATTTTTCCCCATATGTTATTCAATGAAAATCATTTCGAGGCAATGGAGTGACTCAAACCTGTATTCTGTAGTACTGTTATTCACACTATATACAGTAATGTGTCTTCATATAATGCACCATTTTCTAGCAGTGTAACTCGCATTATACAAGGCCTGTATTCTGTAGCAGAGATATAGCCTCGAGCCTGGCCTCGGGCCGGGCTTGGGGAGTAGAAGAACTCCCAGAACCCCATCAACCAGGTATCAACCAGGTATAGCCTTCCAGGCTTAGCAGTATCTTTTTATCACTCCACCACCTGTTTACAATACCTAGTTTATATTTACTTATAATATTATAATCTACAAATGTAGAAATTAGTGCTACAAGGGATCCAGGCACACTGTAGTATGTACTGACAGTCCAATAGCAGCTTAATTCAGGCAAATACTGTACCTATACAGTGTATTATATATTGGTAACCTGTTGAGCACACTGGTGACTAAGCTAATGTGAAAACAAGTATAGAATTACAAATGTTTTGAATGTAACAAAAATATAAATATTTTCAGGGATTTATTTTTCCTCGTATCATAATTGAAGAACCTGAGGAATCTTGATTTCCCCGAAAACAGTTATAGGAGCCATAGGTTGGCTCCTATAACCAAGTTTGCATCAGTTTTAATGTCAAGTCATTCCTGGAGGATAAAGAAGTAGTCAACACTGTTTTAAGTGTGTATTTGTTGTGGTGAGAGTGAGGCCGGCGCCCCGGCCCGACATCACCTCCAGCGGCCAACAGTAATACTATACATGTGTGCTATGCGGTAATCAGTAACTATATATATTGTATGTAATAATAAAATAAAGATTATGCTGGATTATGACTAGACTCACATTTTTAAGTACTGTATATGTCATGTGCATCATGCAATGCTTCAGGTCGTCACATCTCATGTACATCATCATATTATGATCCAGAGATATCATATGATGACACAGGGGCATTATGTGATGATCCGGGGGCATCATGTCATGTACAACATCACAGCATGATACAGGGACATCATGTGATGATCCAGGAGCATCGGGTCATATACGATATCACAGCATGATCCACAGATATGATATGATGACCCAGGGGCATTATGCGATGATCGAAGGGCATCGTGTCGTGTACAACATCACAGCATGATACAGAGGCATCATGTAATGATACAGGGGAAGTGGGGGGGGGGGTGTCATGTTTTGATCTATGGGCATCACATTTCATGAGCGTTGTGTGATCCTTACTGTATACTGTATGATGTTTACTGTATATCATATGATGCTGCATGGCCATCATGTGATGCATCATGCAATATTTTGTGTATCATGTAGTATTGAGGTGATTTATCACAATGCTATATTATGTCTGTACAAATATGTATGCAAATAATGATAATGATAGTGTTTATATATATATATATATATATATATATATATATATATATATATATATATATATATATATATATATATATATATATATATATATAATAATAATATATTATAAGGGGGACCATCTCTGGTTGTTTGTAGGAACCCTCACTCCTCAAAGAAGAGGATATGCAGCACCCAGGGAGGAGCCTTGTCGAGCTCCCGTGTGATCTGTATATGTATGTATATACAGGTGTGTGTATATTATATATATATATATATATATATATATATATATATATATATATATATATATATATATATATTAAATGTAATAAAATGGAAAATTACAACTATCCACAAATAATTCAAATGGAAATATTTCAAAACAATGAGTATACTGCTAGTTAAGATATAATGAAATGTTGCAACAGGTGATGGATGATGATGGTAGCGACTTGTGAAGGTGGAGCTCATACCCTCTTTGACCCTCCTGCCGACCCACCAATACTGTACTTCTGACACCCCTATCAATCTTGCCGAGAGGTGCTTGCTGGCCCCCTAACATCTTCAGTAGCTTTCCAGCCTCGCCTTTATTGATGGGTGCAACACCTTGTCTGGTGATGGGTGGCAGAGGGCCCCTCCTGCTGTGAGCCGAGGGAGCGCACCTGTGGCTCGTCGCTCCTTTAAAAAACAACAAACCCTTCATGGAAGGTAAGCCGCACTGGCGGTAAAGCACAAGTGAAGACTGTGTCTTCTGTTGATAATGCTCAGATATAATCGAGTCAATTTGTGTTTCTCAGATAAAAAAAAATATCACTTCTAACTTTAAGTCACTTTCACTGATGAAAGGTTCGACAAAGTTTCACTCCAAAATTATAATTCATCTACGTTTGTACCCAAGGTTCGCAGAGTGTCCAGTATTGGACATAACTGGGATAAATTTCACTCTAACCAAGCACTTATGGCATCACTAGAAACCTGACTGAGATGAGCTGGTTTAGCCAGCCTTTTCAATACGATATAGCCGTGTCGGCCTCCGCTCACTGTGAATGCGGCCAGGGTGCAGGCCCTAAAGCTGGCCGGGAAGTGAAGGAGGCCGCTGGCCGTCAGAGGCGCGGCGAGCGAGCACGAGCCAGCCCGCGGGTGCCACTCATGTGGTGGAACCATACACGTGCTGGCCGAGGTGAAGGCGGAGGTCAGACGATGGTACCTTGTAGCTGGATGGAGGGAACAGAGGCCTCAGAGCCGCACTCCTCGGGCGGCGTCACCTGTGGCACATATTTGGATTAATAATTCAAAGGAAAAATAAATAATAAATGACTGGTGCCCAAACCACACTAGAAATTAAAGAGTCGATGACGTTTCAGTCTGCCCTGGACCATTATCAAGTCGATAGTGGTCAAGACTATCGACTTGATAATGGTCCAGGATGGACTGAAACGTCGTCGTCTATTCAATTTCAAGTGTGGTTTGGTCAACATTTTTCAGCCATGTTATTGTGACTCATCATCTGCAATAAATGACTGCTTTAAAAGTACAGTTTTGTTTTTTGTTTTGTTTTGTGGCAAATGTTAAATTTAACCCCTGTTAATAGTTGACAACCTCACTGTGCACAAGAAAAATTTCAAAATTTGTTTTCCTTTTAATATTGTTATATATTATTGTTATATATTATTGTTATATTAATATTGTTATATTTCCCTTTAATATTGTTATGTGCATTCCCTGGTCATGTAAAAAAAAATAAAAAAAAAGTCACGTGACTTAGTTTGCCCCTTATGAAGTCTGGAACTCTTGCGATGATGTCATGATTCACGAGCGTTCATCGAGCAATCACTGTCGGGTGGTTGCCCAGAGTCAGCCATGAGGCGGGAGTTGCCACGAAGATATTTTTTACATATTTATTCCAGTGTGATTAGCTTTTTCACTTTTTTTTTTTTTTTTGCAGTATTATTCAATAGTATTGCTGGAATAACCGTGGATATCTTCAAGAGAAAACTAGATAATGTGGTTTTCTTAAAGAAGTGTCGGAACAACTGGGGCTGTGGTGGGTATGTGGGCCTGCGGGCCGCTCCAAGCAACAGCCTGGCGGACCAAACTCTCACAAGTCAAGCCTGGCCTCGGGCCGGGCTGTGGTGTGTATGTGGGCCTGCGGGCCGCTCCAAGCAACAGCCTGGTGGACCAAACTCTCACAAGTCAAGCCTGGCCTCGGGCCGGGCTGTGGTGTGTATGTGGGCCTGCGGGCCGCTCCAAGCAACAGCCTGGTGGACCAAACTCTCACAAGTCAAGCCTGGCCTCGGGCCGGGCTGTGGTGGGTATGTGGGCCTGCGGGCCGCTCCAAGCAACAGCCTGGTGGACCAAACTCTCACAAGTCAAGCCTGGCCTCGGGCCGGGCTGTGGTGGGTATGTGGGCCTGCGGGCCGCTCCAAGCAACAGCCTGGTGGACCAAACTCTCACAAGTCAAGCCTGGCCTCGGGCCGGGCTGTGGTGTGTATGTGGGCCTGCGGGCCGCTCCAAGCAACAGCCTGGTGGACCAAACTCTCACAAGTCAAGCCTGGCCTCGGGCCGGGCTGTGGTGGGTATGTGGGCCTGCGGGCCGCTCCAAGCAACAGCCTGGTGGACCAAACTCTCACAAGTCAAGCCTGGCCTCGGGCCGGGCTGTGGTGGGTATGTGGGCCTGCGGGCCGCTCCAAGCAACAGCCTGGTGGACCAAACTCTCACAAGTCAAGCCTGGCCTCGGGCCGGGCTGTGGTGGGTATGTGGACCTGCGGGCCGCTCCAAGCAACAGCCTGGTGGACCAAACTCTCACAAGTCAAGCCTGGCCTCGGGCCGGGCTGTGGTGGGTATGTGGACCTGCGGGCCGCTCCAAGCAACAGCCTGGTGGACTAAACTCTCACAAGTCAAGCCTGGCCTCGGGCCGGGCTGTGGTGGGTATGTGGGCCTGCGGGCCGCTCCAAGCAACAGCCTGGTGGACCAAACTCTCACAAGTCAAGCCTGGCCTCGGGCCGGGCTTGTACATAATTTTATTTATATATAGATATATATAATAAAATTATGTACATTTTCATGCACAATTCTGAACAACTAAGGTGGGTATCATAATCTCATATCATGTGGTTAGAGTTCAGTCTAGGTCTGCATGTTTTGCATGAAAATGTAACTGCACACATTAAATATATAATATTTTCTCTATACCTCTAATGTTTTACTATGGTTTCTTCAAGTGTAATGATCCAATGGGATGTCAATAATGTTATTTGTATTACAATATATATTGGACATAGGAATGCACAGACATTCTCCAGTCACTAATATGTGCACCATATTATATTCTTTGAACAATAAAGCATGCAGTTTTTGTCATTACACTCTATATGCACCTTGTATAATGAGCAGCTGTAGTGGGGGTGGTAATGAAAGGTAAGGACAGAATAGTGCGCCACAAACTGCCAGCAGACGATGCAACCTGATAGCGGCAATATGTGTCATCATACACTACGCATATTTGCTAATTCTAGGCACAATGTTGCAATTATTATTATCAGTAATCCTGATAATAATAGTGTGTATCTTTGTAATGTGTTGAACATCGCTATACTCAAAAATATGGTTCACATATTGGTGACACGATTATTACAGTTTTAGAGCAAGAAAACGGTGCTTTTACTGTTATTACCCTACATATACACTATATAACTATGTACATTTTTATGCACCATAAAGAACCGCTAAGCTGGTGTGGTGGATCCAAATACAGCATAGCATCAACGTGCTTGTCAGCTGATGACGACACCTGACTTGACATGATGCCTCCAATATAACACACCTATTGCTAACTCTAGACGCAATGTTGTTCTTATTATCACCAGCATCCTGGTCACTAAATCCTGAATATAAATCATTTTGCACAAGTTTATTTTCTAAGGAAGTATGAGGTTATTTCATGATGCGCAGATGCACCAAACAGTGGCACTCTTATGGCTGTCTGCATCACACTGTGAACATCATAAACAATATTGTGTTTACTGATATCTTAAATCTTATTCAGCACTAAATCATCCCTGTATGATTTGCACAGTGTGATATGATATGCCATAAGCCTCTTGGCATGACATGCCCAGTGGAATATTTGTTTCTATAGAGAGAGATTTTAAATGCTTAAATTATCACCATACGAGATGGAAGAAGAACAATTAATAATATGTTCCTTACTTCTAAGCCAATAGAGCCATTGGTGGGGATCTTGATAGAGCCAGTACGCTGGTCCCTGGTGAGGGGAGTGAGAGGACTGATGCCCAACTCTTCAAAACTGTTGATCTTACGAGTTCCTTCAAGTCCAAAGCGCAGAGAGTTGGAACGCCGCATGAGGATGTCGTCCACACGGAGGGAGTTGGAGCGGCCGCGGACATACCCTGTTGGAGGGGACATGGGGACGTGAAGGGATTCTACAAGGGAACCCAGGACGGGAGCTGAAGGAATAGGGAATTGGAGGAAGAATTAGTCAGTTAGATATAGAAGGTGAAAAAAGTGAAAGTTCTGATACGAGTTTCAAAGTTTGCAGGCAGTTCTTCGTTGTCAAGTTGGAACTATTACCTACGTGAGTGAGGAACAGTTAATGCAGCAGCTGTGACTACCTGCTCAGAAGTGTAAACTTACCAGGAGAGATCTGAGGGCTGTCCGGGAGACTGAGAGAGTTGGACTTTGGTGCTGTGGTCAGCGGCGGTGGGCGGGTGAAGGTGGTGCTACGGCGTCGTGTGTCGCACAATGATATGTTGGACTTCCGCCGAGAGTTGTGCCTCTCGAATGTCTTCTGAGCCGAGAATGGGCTTGGCCGGATGAGATATCTACGTTAAAACTCTCATTAGTTTTTATTAAGAGTAAGGGTGCAGTTATAATAATGAAAATTAATTACATTTACATAAAGAAATCACACTAATGTGATACATGTCAATGAGTAAATCAATTGGAACAATGAAGTGACTTGAATCAGCAATGAGGGTACTCCCAGCCGTGCACCTTACTCGTGTACAATTTCTAAGTTACAAAACCTGGGATTCCACTAAATCCACAGGAAGTATGGAGGCTTCTACTGAAGCCAGTCCATATTTTACATATAACCCCCATGCACTCTGGTGAAGGTAGAGTAGTCCATCAACCGTACACTCCAACTTCAGATACACAAAGAAATCAGTAATATGATATATCAATAACAATGTCAATTAGAGCGTTGTGTATCTGAAGCTGGAGCACACAGTTGATGGACTACTTTACCTACACCAGAGTGCATGGGGGTTATATGTAAAATTTGGACTGGCTTCAGTAGAAGCCTCCAGACTTCCTGTGGATTTAGTGGAATCCCAGGTTGTATAACTTGTACCATGTCGTGGTACAGTGGTAAGGTGCGTGGCTGGGAGCATACCCTGATCGCTGGTTTGAGACACCTCATTGCTCCAATTGCTTTTCTCGCTAATTACATTAATAATAAAACTAATTAATTGTTACAAGTAATAATAAATATACAAGAATGGCTGCAGTATTAGTAGAGATAGAGTGAGTTGAGGGCAGAGGAAGGGGAGAGACTACACAGTCATTATCGGTTTTGTCTCCTGTACATTATTTTAAAGGTGCATCAAAATATTTATTTTCACAGCTCTGTATTTGTTTTTAATTTGCTTGTCTCACATTTATTTAATGGGAATAAGTGCTATTAGAGTTGATCTGTTTTAAACAAAGCTTTTATTATATCTATTAGTGACAATCTCATTTTGTTAGCAGTTCCTTAGTCACTGGAAATTATTAGTTAAGTAGTTACACACACAAATAGCCTGATGCATCAAATGAACAAATCCACAAGGGCCGTGAACTGGGTTCGAATCTACGTCCGAGAGGATTCCAGACGCTGCCTTAATCGACTGAGCTAAGACATGGTCCATGTCGTAGCTCAGTCTATTAAGGCAGGTATCTGAAGAGTCTGAAGAACTCGAAGAGCAATGACAGTTGTTGCTACCACCATAAAAGCAATATGATCACTTGTTTTTGTTCTATCTAATGCCATTGCTAGATTATGTGACAACAAGTTTTTTGTGATTTGTTGAGACTGGTGGAAGGTTTGGGGGCGTGTCTTCTTGTAAGATGCCTCACGTTAAGATTACACTGGTGGAAGGTTTGGGGGCATGTCTTGTAAGATGCCTCACGTTAAGATTACACTGGTGGAAGGTTTGGGAGCGTGTCTTCTTGTAAGATGCCTCACATTAAGATTACACTGGATAACAGATGATAGCACACAAGCTAAGCACAGTAATTATGCAAGGTAGAGGCTCAATATCACTGCTTTTATGACTGGAAACTACAAACGCACCTGTAAAAGCAACAAAACTTCAAACTTTAAAAGACGGCGCTAAAAGAGAGAGGAAAGTGCGAGAGTGAGTGAATAGCTACTTACACAATACTGCACTAAGAGAGAGTGAGTGAGTGTGAGTCAATAGCTACTTACACAGTACATAACCATAGCCTCACCAGCCAACTTACACAATGTCGCCTTCCTCGAGCTTGAGGTCACACGATGGGTTGATGATGACGAAGGAGAGAGAGTTGCGCTTCTCGGACACGTCGTCATAGTCCTCGGGGGGCAGAGCTGAGGGCAGACCCCATCTTTATTAGGCAGAGTGCAGCTAGTGTATGTAGGATTATTCCATATATAAAATGGAGAGTTCAAAACCGAGTCGGACAAAATCAAATGTTTTACTAAAACGATTTGGGAGGATGAGTGACATTTAGCAATATTTAAAATATAGGAAAATAATTAACAAACATATATTAAAGAAGCTGAAGAAAATCTTGCACAAAGGTTTGGATTCTACCATGATGATTATTTTGAAGATGTCTTACTAACCAAATCACAAATTAAGTAAATATTTGTATAATTTTGGATGGTTTGATGTGTGTGTGTGTGTAATTACCCAAGTGTAGTTACAGGATGAGTGCTACCCCTCATGGTGTTCCGTCTTTCTTTAGTATTTCACCATCCATGTAATTCAAAACAAGTTTGAAGTTGGAAAGTGACGCATATGTCCCATCACAATGTTCTTGTGTTCCTCTGGTGTCAGTTTACTATCTAAAACCACTCCTAGATCTTATTCTTTATTAGTTACCTTTAGTTAGAGAATGAGTTAGGGTCTTCTTCTCCTTACTGGATGTATTATAAGGTGCCAGTCTTCCTGGTTAGAGGACAATCCTCTGTTCTCCTTAAGGGGCTTTGTCGTTCTTGCACTCTCGAGTGGTGTGAAGTTGCGACTGCGTTTCAGATATTTTAAGGGTGGGCTTGACCTTGAGCCAAGATCACACCAGGCCTTGGCTAAAGGCCTGGTGTGGGGGTTTTGGTGTCTGGTGTGGCTTCATTTACAGCTCTTCCCAAGCTATATGCACCCATACCCTGGGAGGCGGTGGCCGTGTTCTTCGCTGCTCGCCCTGTGTGTTGACAGGCTGTGCTGGCCCAGCTGTTGGATTCAGCTTGGGCCCTGGCCCTCCCTATTTTTGCCTCTGCTTCTGAATGAGATGGTTGCTCAGTCCTTGTTCTCAGCGACTGCTTCCTGTCGACCTGTATCAGATCTTTTGTGTTCTAGTTCCTTGTTCTTGCCTTGCAGGGCTGGGGTTTTACCTTTTCTTGGTTGAGTTAGGCCTACTGTCGAGCCTGATTCTGGGTTTCATGTGTCTCCCGTGGCTGGTTCTTTGTCGGCTGGATGGCGTGAGGTTCACTCTTCGAGGAAGGTGCCTGCTTTTCGTGGTTCGTACCAGCCCCTTTGACAGGGTGGTGGGGGTGCAGCTTGTCTGTTTTTCCAGCTTTGGGTCCCACGATTTGTATGCTTATTGCGTGGCCAGAAAATCTCAATCCTCTCGCAGATGTCGAGATTTTCTGGGCAAGCCTCTTTTTTCCTTGCCAGCATCAGGTAATTTTGGGATGGGTCACTTCTGGCATGGTCGAAACGATCATGTCACTCTGGTGAGTGTCTTGTTTCTTCCTGGTCCTGAAACGTGAGTCGGCGGAACTCCAGTTCATCCTCGATCTTTTGAGGCTGAACCCTTGCCCCACTTTTCAGACGACCAATTTAGCCCAAGTTCACCTACTCTTGAATTCGAGCACTGAAAGGAATTCCATGGACCTCTGGGATGCATAGTGGCATGCCCTTATATATTTGAGGTTCAGGGAATGGTTAGGTTTTATGGTGGGATGCCAGGCCTTCTGCTTTCAGGGTCTTCGCTTTAGTCTGAGTGTGGCTACCCGAGATTTTACCAGGTTGGCTCAAGTCGTGGTTGCTCTACTTCAGTTGCTGGGGGCGTGTGTCTTGGCCAACCTGGTGTTGGCTCCCAGCTGGTCCACATGTCTGCTTGCCAGGAATCTGGTGCTTTCTCAGCTTGCCAGGTTCAGGATCCTGGTGAATGGTAGACAGTTCCAGTTGGGGACTTTCTGCTGCTGCTGGGGAGGGTGTGGCTCTGGTGGCTGTTCTAGCAGCTCTGAAAATGTCCCTTTGGCCCTTTGCTGTCTGCTACACCCCTGGGTTTCTCTTTGGGTTTTTTAGGGTTTGGTCTCCTGGGCTCCTCCTCCCTCTCACACTTGACATGTTCATGGACACCTCAGCTCTGGGCTGGGGCTTCGTGACCAGCGCTCACCAGGCTGTACAGTGCTGTGAGATGCGAACCTATGGTCTCTTTTGAGCCCAGCAATTGTCTGTTTTGGTTCACTGACTTTCTTGAGGCTTTTTTCAATGGGGTGATGGTCAGCATCGTCTCCCTGCACCTCTTCTAAGGGGGGCCATGTTGTAGCTCTGGTTCCAGGTAGGCCAAAGAACTCCACAGCCGATGTAACTTTGCCGGAGGGAAGGGGGGGGGGGCATCACAGAGAAGATAGCTTTAGGGAGCCACCGGTACTCAACCAAAAATTGCCATTTCATTTAATTTAACAGTGTTTTTTTTGTTGGGTGATTAGTTTTTAAGGGCTAGTTTTTTATTGAAGGTTTGGGTAATTTGTAGTTTTTTGTTCTTATTTGATAATTTTTGTTGGGTAATTTGTAGTTTTTTTTGGGCGATTTGTAGTGTTGAGATTTTATATATTTTGTTGAGTGATTTATAGGAATTTGTTTGGCAATAGTTTGTTTTTGGTGATTTTTTTTCCTTTTTCTTGAACGAGTTGTATTTTTTTTGTTGAATGATTTGTTGTTAAATGTTTTTTAAATGTAATAAAATGCATTTTTTCTGGTTGGTCCCTTGGTGGTACTCATTCATGCCCAGCCCCTCATTCTTGTCTTTTTTGCAGAGTCATTGCTTGGGCAGTGTGGGCATAAGTGATGGTTGGCTACGACCCTCGGGGTCACCTGGGTCGCATCTGGTGCCCAGCGAGTGTTGCTAACTTGAAGTTAGACCTAGACAATGAATGTATACATAGTTCAGATAAGAAATGCAAATGTTCTCCATGCAGACGCATCTTGTAGTGTACACTTATCTTGAGGTTATCTTGAGATGATTTCTGGGCTTTAGTGTCCCCGCGGCCCGGTCCTCGACCAGGCCTCCACCCCCAGGAAGCAGCCCGTGACAGCTGACTAACACCCAGGTACCTATTTTACTGCTAGGTAACAGGGGGGCATAGGGTGAAAGAAACTCTGGCCATTGTTTCTCACCGGCGCCCGGGATCGAACCCGGGACCACAGGATCACAAGTCGAGCGTGCTGTCCGCTTGGCCGACCGGCTCCCTACACTACCTTTTTTGATGGATTTTCCACTGGTCCTTGGTTGATCTTTTATCACCAGACTCCCTTTGCCTTTATTGAAGAGGCCATAGTCTGGTACTGACCTCTGGTAAGAGCTCGTGAATCATTAAGAGCCTGGTAGGGCACCCAAGATTTTGAGCATCCCAGTTTATTTTGCTTGGGAAACCATTGAAGGAAGCCCTCCCTCCCTCCACTCCCAAAAATAGTATACAATATATAGTACTGTACTTTATAGAAAGTGGACATAGTCAAAACATGAATAGAAGATGAATTCCCATCCCAACTTAAAGCACATGTAATGGGTGGAGCAGATATTGAAATGGGTTAAAACTACCTATGTCTTGTAAATAATCCATTTTGGATCCACACTATACCTAGTAAAATGAAACTGATAAGGCCAAGCAGACGGGGGCAGGAACTTACCTAGACTCTGCATACGAGAGCGGACGAGCTGGGCGATCTCTGCTCTCTCGATAAGATTACTGTGGCCTTCCTTGGGGTCATCAGAGATGTTGAGCGAGAACTGAAACATAACCCGAGACTCCTACATGCTCTGCCACCCACAGCTCACCACACTATTTTTTTTATGTCATCTGATTTATATTCTTGCAAGGAAAGTTAAGTTTGATTTATAGACATAAAATTACTTATATTTCACTTTGAAAAAATGGAATATTGTATTGATGTGCTTAAAATTCTACTCTAGACAATAAGGGTGACAAAGGTACATGCAACTGCACTATCTATGTATATAAAAGGCAGGCAGCACCACGAACACAGAAGCCACGGGCATTCTACCAGAGACCACCATCAGATACATAGACTATAGCTCTCGGGACTGACGTGACACACAATACTATGTCATATACTTGGTATGATGCATTTACACTGAGCAACGTGCACTGGCAAGGCTTACCTCTAAGTTATATTGAATTAAAATTATTGATCATACACGTGGAGTTATATCCAGAGATAAGATGGTTTGCCATACACCACACCCAAGTCCTGTGACTAGCAGATGTACACAAAAACAGGATGCATCGTCTTCCAGATTCTCAAGTATGGTATCTTATTATGAAACGCCAGGGGTCTACAGCAGGACTGATGCAAGCGGAAGTATGGGTAGTGTAGTAGGTGGTTACTATGCTACCACTAGTGGTTGGTCACTGTAGCAGGTGGGTTACTGTGTTCCAGGTGGTTATTGTGAGGTGTTGGTCATTGGTCACTGTGTAGAAGGTGGGTAATGTTTGGTGTAGAAGGTGGGTAATGTTTGGTGTAGAAGGTGGGTGCTGTGATGTGTCGCAGGTGGTTACTAAGAGGTGTAGTTGTAGCAGGTAGTTACTGAGAGCTGCAGTGCTTGGTCACTGGTGTAATACTGATGATACTGTGATGTGTAAGTGTAATGATTGGTGACTGTGTAGCAGGTGGCTACCATGTTGTGTAGATGTAGTGGCTGGTTACTGTAGAGTTTACCATGAAGTGTGAGCATAATATGTGGTTGCAAAGGGAGATGATGATGTATTGTGCAGTAAACCATGTGGGTATATTAGGCGGTCACCATGAGGTACAGTGAGTAATCACTATGAGGGGAAAGATTGTGTAACAAACTGCCACAATGAAGGTGATGCACCATGTAATTACACAAGATGTGTAGGTGCCATATTAGATCTCTGTGAGGTGTAGATTATGTTGAGGCATATAGTGCCATGTTTCCCCAGAACACTACGTGCAAATAATTTTACAACCAAATCTTCAATTACAACACAGTGGGCAAATAGTGAAGAACAGTGCATCGGTATTCAAGCCCAGTTTGCTCCTGCCACCAGTTACTACTAACAGTGTATCAAGTTGATGTAACAGGTTGCCACTATGGAGATGAAATAGGGAAATAGGGAGGGGGGATGTGTAGAAGATAGTTATCAGTGGTAGATGTTTAGAAGATAGTTATCCTCCTTGTAACTTATACCTCGCAGCTCTAATACTCAACTGGTGATACACCTCCAGCTTTATTTTTTGTTTAATGAGATAAGGACTCCATGCTGGTGTCACATGTTCCATAAATGGTCCAATATAAATGATATACAAGGTCCTGAACACACATTTGTTTGGGTTTCCGAAAGTAGTTCCTATATTAGCCAATCTTACATATGCAGCTGAAGATGCTCTTTTGATATGGGCGTCTGGTGACAGGACTGGTGTAATATCAATCTTCTACTTTTTCTCTGTCTGATTGCAGGACGATTTTCTCTCCCATGTGTCTGGTCTCTTGTACCTAGCTTCACTACATATCACCTTGAGTTCTGTAGCCACTTGAGGGACCATACTTTCATTTTTGTCCTTGTCTCCTTGTAGTTTCATGCTGTCTTCCATCGTGTTTATCCTCATAATTTTTGTACCATCAGCAAACATTGAGGGGAAGGAATATCTATCCCATTGGCAGGTTATTTGTAAAGATTAGAGAATAGGATCAGCTTCAGACCTGACACTTGCGGAATGCCACTGGTAGCATCCTGCCACTCATAGATCGCTCCTACCATGGTAACTCTTCTGTTGCAGGGGTAATTATTTTTCCACTGAATGTCTCTCCTGTCATTCACATCTGTTTCTCCATTTTGTGCACTAGTCTTCTGTGGGGGTACACTGTTGAAGGCTTTCTGATAAGTCCAAAAACACTCAGACCAGCCATCTTTATCTTATTGCATAGCCTCCAGGCTTGGTGCTGCCCTTGGATAATTACTTACAGTACTTCTTCATCTTGTATGATCTCAGTTGCTGGTTTGTGAGGCAGGTTTTGCCATCTCTGAAATCATGCTGGTGTTGCGTTATGAAGTCCCTGCTCTCCAGATGTTCTACTGGCCTCTTTATTATGATCTTTTCCATCAACTTGCATGATAGGCAAGTAAGAGAAACTGACCTGTAGTTTAAAGCCTCCTGTCTTTTACCTTTTTTGTATGTTGGCACTATATTGGATGTCTTCACACTGTGACAGTTCTCATATTTCCAGTGACTTGTTGTTGTTATTATTATTATTATTATTGTCGTTAATATGAGAAAATCAATTGTAGCGATGAGGTGACTTGAACCAGCAATCAAGGAACTTCCACCTGTGCACCGTACCCATGTACCACGACTTTATTAAAGTTCCACAACCTGGGATTCCACTGAAGCCACAGGAAGTTTGGAGGCGTCTATCCAGTCCATCTTTTACAGATAACCCCCATACACTGGTGGAGGTAAAGTAGTCCATTAATTGTACACTCTAGCTTCAAATACACAAAGAAATCACACTAAAATGGTGTATATAAATGAGTGGGTAAGATGCACAGCTGAGAGTTCCTTGATTGCTGCTTTGAGTCATCTTGTTGCTTCAATTGATTTTCTCATTAATATATACCATGTTTGTGTGATTTTGTTGTGTATCTGAAGCTTGAGGGGTATGATTGAACTACTGTACCTACACTAGATTACTTTGGTGTTATAAGTAAAACGTGGACTGGCTTCAGTAGACGCCTCCAGACTTTCTGTGGATTCAGTGGAATCCCAGGTTGTGTAACTCTCACAAAGTCATGGTACATGGGTAAGGTGCACGGGTGAAAGTTCCTTGATGCTGGTTCGAGTCACCTTATCGTTACAATTGATTTTCTCATATAGCAACAATAATAATAATAATAATAATAATAATTATTATTATTATTATTAATAAATGCATACAAAGTACAAAAGAAGAGGTAAATTGTAGGTAGAGGGTATACACGTTAAATTAAGCCACTACTATGTAAATCATTATTGGCAGAACTTTGAATAATTCAGTAAAAAATTATTAATAGCAATAATGGGGTAAACAATTAATGTTAAATGATTAGTAAACATAACATTATAGTAAGCAACCAGCACAAGGCTTCCAATCCTTGTCATGAAGCCATTTAGGTTAGTGTGTTTGCTTTAGTTGCAGTCATTTTTAAATTGCTTCTCTGCCTTCCCTTCTCCTAGAAATTCATTCATTGCTCATTGGTACCTTTCTCAGCTGTTCATTTGTTCTTGTAGTTTTCCATTCCTTTGTGATTAGGCATGATACTTCCTAATTTCCTTGGTGAAACCATGGACTAGTGCTATGCCTTTCATTGTCCTCTCTCTGGAGAGGACAAATTTGCCAGCTGGGAAGGTGTTTACTCATGAAGGCAATTATAAAATGACGGACCACCAATACAGTGCATGTGTATTTAATTTATTTATTCATGTAATTATACTACTTCACTCTTCAAAAAGAAGCAGGATAACTCCACCATTCAAGGTAAATAATGTTGTGGTTTTGTGAGGGGAGTCCCTATGGCTCCCCAAAGCTAACCAGGCTGATATGAATGTATTAGACCCTGGCATCAATCAAGCGAATGGAGTTCTTAGACCTGCCCGGGATCACGAGCCAGTACCTGGCCCACCTCAGAGAGGCACAAGGAGCAATGGCCTATTGAAACCTCCCATCTGAGTGGAAGCATTCTATGTCTGCCATCGACCGGGTCAGGCACCCAGAAAGGTAAGCGCCCCAAAACAAACCCCTATTCTGGTTAAGAAATTGCTACTGAAAACCGATCTAGTGGACAGAACTTCCCAAATGAAAACGAGCAAACAAGCATGACATCACCACATCACCGCGCCACTGTCTACACAGCTTCCCCCCTCCCTGGCAGGGGGAAGGGGGAGCCCCAGTCCCCCATGCCAGCTATTCACCCTACAGTTCTGTGACTGATGTAAGGTTGGTATTGGGTTGTTGATGCTTGGTTGGTTAGGCTGGGGGTGCACTGTGTGTTATGTCCGGTTGCGGCTCTCTGCTGTTATTTGCGCACCACGGCTTCTGTGTCTGGGGACGTGCTTTGGATTGATCCGGTTTCCCTTCTTCCCTGTTCCAGGGTTTGGGTCTCCCAGGTTGTCCGCAGGGTTATTTGGTCCAGCCAGCCTACAGTCTATCCCCGTGCCCACGACGTTCATAAGTTTGCTGCGCTTGCTGCAGTCTTTGGTAACATGTCTTGGGCTGACATTTCGGGGATGAGGTTTTTGGTGGTCGAACAGGGTAGATTGTGCGCTACCTGGTCAATGTTCCTGGGCCTCATCGGGCCCATGTCGCTTTGGGTCGGTGGTTGCAGCCAGTTGTCTTGACTTCCAGTTGACGAGAGAGTGCCTCCCGCCTCCCAGATAAGGCCCTTTTGTTTTTGTCTTTGGGTAAGCAGCTCTGGGGAGCCGACAGGGCTTTCCTCAGAAAACTAGCATTGAATGTAATGAAATTTCCATTTTCTGGGTGAGACCTGGAGGCTCCCCCAGCAACCCTCCCTCCCTCCAGTCGGCCGTTTTTTGCGTGTTTTTGACATCCAGCCTTGGAACTGGGGTGTGGGTAGCCGGCATCAGGGTCTGGGGCTCCCCCTTCCCCCTCCCAGGGAGGGGGGGGGGACTGCGCAGACAAGCGGCTCAGTGACGTCATGCTCATTTGCTCGTTTTCGTTTGGGGAGTTCTGTCCACTCATTTGGCTTTCAG